CTCCTCCAGCCCCCGCACTGTCACATCTGGCGTCCCCCAGGGCTCTGTCCTTGGCCCTCTCCTCTTTAATATCTACATGCTCCCCCTTGGTGACATTATCCGCAGACATGGGGTCAACTTCCACATGTATGCAGATGACACCCAACTCTATCTTTACCTCCACCCTCAACTCCAGGACCACTGCTGTGGTGAGGGCAAATGTCCTACAATTGAATGTGAACAAGACGGAGGCCCTCCTGATTGGCTCGCGCCAGCGCCTCAGCACCTCAGCTCTGGCAGCATCAACCCCCATGGTTGCACACTACAACTCACCAAGCCAGTCAGGAGCCCAGGGTATTGTTCTACCCTCAACTGTCTTTTCTCTCGTCATTCCTGAAATGACATCATGAAAATGTGCTTTATCAAATGCCAGGATTATCATGTCGTTAAAATGAATGGGTTGATCGGGTGGGGGACATAAAACAGGCAGCGTTCGCTGAGCGGTGAGCACAGCAGGGCTGGTCGGAGATTGGCAGCCAGTGGAGAGGGAGTGGTTGATTCTGGCTTGCAGGGGAACGAGGAGTCGAAGCTGCGTGGCCAGAAATGGTGTGGGGGTGAGGTTGAGAATGCTTCAAGTGTTTTTTTTTCTTGGAAAGAGGAAAGAGTCCTGTAGCTCAGTGGTTAGAGCACTCGCCTCGCAAGCGAGACACCTGGGCTCAATTCCAGGCAGAGGGCGAAACCTTGGGCAAGTTTCCTTACTCCACACACCGAATAATAATCCCTCCAAAACAATAATAAATTGGTCATTTTCAATCCGCGACTGTTTGTGGGACACTGCTGTGCGCAATTGGCTGCCGCGTTTCATCCACAAATATACAGTCAATTCACTTCACAGTATATTCTGCGAAACGCTTTGAGACGTCGAGAAGACGTGAAAAGCGCTTATTCAGATTGATGTCCAATGTGATTTAATGATCCTATTTTTAAAAAAATGACACGTTACAAAAATGGCTTTAAAGGATTGTCGCTCGGTAAAATCCTGTTACACAAGTGTATGTTGTTTTGATGTAAAAATGAATAACCTATATTAATTTGTACCAATGTTGGGGATCAGAGGAAAAAGATCAAAATCTTAATGTAAAGATTAGGTGTTGTGGCCATGGGACTGTCAAATTACCTGGCAACCCTGTAACAACACAAATTGGTTTATAATAATCCTTTCATTTGATATAGCGCTTTTCACGTCTTCTCGACGTCTCAAAGCGCTTCACAGAATATACTGTAAATTGAATTGAGAAATAAGGAAATTTGCCCAAAGGTATAGCTCTGCCGGAAATTGAAACCAGGTCTCTCGCTTGTGAGGCGAATGCTCTAACCACTGAGCTGCAGGACTGTGAACAGGACTCAGCTGCAGGACTCCTAGACATTATGTAACAATGTCTAGGACCCATTTGGTACCACTACAAAGAGAAAAACATCTTTTCAGTTTGTTTGGAACAGATTAAATGTTGACATTTTTCAGGATTAAAAGGATTTTTCCGCCCTCGAGCAATGAGAATCAGAGTTACTTCTGTTGTAGAAACGGTATCAAGGGCCTATTCTTACTGTTGAACACAAGCTGGAGGTGTTCTGTTGAATGCTTCCTTATAGTAATAATAATAATCCTTGCACGTATTCGAGATGTATATTCACAGAATATACTGTAAAGTGTAGTGACTCTTATTTTGTGGGCGAAACGCGGCGGCCAATGGACACAGCAGTATCCCACAAACAGTCATGGATTGAAGTGTCCCAATTTTTTTTTGAGGAATTATTACCCCCGGAAAAGCAATTCGCCAATCGACTAACAACTGGGTTCCTGCTTACTGCTCGGTAAACAGAGGTGTGTGGAGAAAGAAAACTTGCCCAACATTTCACCCTGCCTGGGATCGAACCCAGGTCTCTCGCTTGCGAGGCGAGTGCTCTAATCACTGAGCCTCAAGACTCCACAACTGCCACTGAAATAAATACATTTCCATTACTGTCCCAGCATCTTCACTTCATCTTGTCTTACGACTTCTCCTTCCACCCCCGCACAGCTACATTCAGTGTTCCTCAAGGCGTCAGTCCTCTGCTTTTCACCACTTGGTGATATCATCCACAGACTATGGGGTCCACTTTCACATCTATGTAGATGATATCCAATTCTATCTCTGCCTCTACCCTTGACTCCAGAACCACCATTTGTTCTGACTGATTGCCTGTCAGAAATTAATAGACATGCAGCCCGGCTGAGATTAATAAACTCAATGCAGACCAGGACTCGAATGAGTGAGGTCCTGGTCTCTACACTGCAGCTCTCAACAGAAAACTCACTTCCTTCTGGTGCTGTACATTCTTTTTAAAAACTAATTTCATCTGCGACATCAGATCTAAACTACAAGCCGATACTTCTTAACATTGATCTTGTAGGAATTCACTTCAAGTAAATTTAAGATCTGCTTAAAATATAAGAAGCATGAATAAGCAGCACAACATGAAGCCTCCTGGGAAGTGCCGAGAAAGGGGAGACCACAGTGTGATTTGAAAGATAAAATCTAATCTTGAGGTCCAGTTGATAATTAATTGATATAAACTTTATTTGGCGCATTATATCCTCTGGATATAAAAGTCCCAATATAAATATAAATTTGTATAGTGTGTTTATTGTGATACCCTTTCAATTCCTTTATCAGATAATTGCCATACAATATTCCTAGGTATTTAAATTTAAAAATTAACCCTTTTTTATGCTTGTATAAAAAGCTGTTCCATGGATGACCACAATTTTACTTAATAATGGTTGATTAGAAATCTTCATAATCTTTGAGCAAGTTCTTGTTCAATAAACTGCTACGTTGTATGTAATATCTTTTGTTTGAATTAGGCTTGAGCAACTTAAAATGTTCAGATGACGGTCTAGATTGGATTTAGTGTACTGTGTTGCAAATTTACAGTTTGCATTTTATCATTGGCTTTTTTTTCTCGTTTCATAGATGTTTTGAAACTTTGATAATGTAATATTAAGCATTTAAGGAATTTAATGATAATAATAATAATCCTTATATTTGGTATTGCGTGTTTGACATTGGACGATGACCCGAAGAACTTCACAAGATATACGAATGTGTATCGGATAAGTAAATTGCAGAGACTGTTTTTTTGTTCTTCATTAGGGAACCGGGTGTGTTAATTGAAACAGAATCATGTAGGTACGGTTATTTGGTTTATTCATTACAATTATTTGAACTGTATTGACAGCATAAAGTTTTTTTTATTTTGTTTGCCATTTAAACCACCACCAAAAAAAATTACATTTGTGTAGAGCTTTTCAGGTAGGAAGGATGTCCCAAGTTAGGGATTTGGTCTCGAGCTGCGAGTTGGGATTAGGAAGGATGGAGGGCAGGGTAGGAGGGTGACCGAAGGCATGATCGAAGAGGAACGTCTTGAGATGGGCCTTGAAGGAGACAAGGGAGGGAGTGAGGGGAAGGAAATGTGGGATGGAGTTGCAAAGGGTGGGGGCAGAGAGGCTGAAGGCCCGACCACTGATGGTGGGGGACATTGAGTAGGCCGGAGCCCGCTGAGCAGACAGGTCGATGTGGAGTTAGCAGATCAAAGAGGTAAGGAGGAGGGAGCAAGGCTGTGGAGTGCTTTGAAGGCGAGGCTGAGGTTTTTGAACTCTATTCTCTGGGGGATGGGAAGCCAGTGGAACCGGGCGAGGGTGGGGATGATAGGATCACGGAGCCAGATACATGAGAGACCACGAGCTGCAGAGTTCTGGACGATCTGCAGCTTGTAGAGGGAAGAGTTGGGAAAGCCGACAAGCAGGGAGTTAGCGTAGTCAAGCCTGGATGTGATGAATGCGCCAAGACTATTTTACCTCCCGAAGGCAGAAAATCATTTTGTCCAAACACTGTGTACCTTTTCATTAATTCAACAACAAAAAAACACAAGTAAACCTCTGAACTAACAGCAATTTTGCCAAGAACAAACCCAAATACCTTAAAATAACCCAACCACAGGTTTAGAAGTGCTTGGGATTTGCACATAATTGTGGAGTGAATTGGTCGAAGGGTATTGGAATTAAACTGAGGCTGTAAAGTGAAATTAAGATGAAAAACAGATTTAAATTTTAAACAAGGAATGAACCTTATAAATCTGTGTGAAATTCTATACTTTTTAATGTGTTTTATTGTCCTTTCCCTTTTCTTTGGTGGAATGATGATGGGTTGAATCTCAGCTATCCACTTACATTATTTGTTCAGCCCATTAATCTCATTCAGTAGAACAAATGTAAAATGTGCAGCATCAGACTCATGCGCATGAACAGTGCTATATAAATGTAAGTTGTTGTTAGCAAAGGAACCTTTTGAATTTATGGTTCACTGTTAAAACAACTGAGAGGTCTTTCCCTTGCCAACTTCCTCCCTTCTTGAAGGCACCGTGGACTCCCTTTCCTTCTACTGAACGTGTGGGGGAAAGGTTACAACTTCATATGCAACAGTCACCTTTTAGTAACTCATCGATGTGGCCATTATTCATTTGTTGAATATTGGCAGGCTGTGCAGGAAGTGTCACAGCCCAAACCCAGTCCTGTCCTCACCTGACATCCACTCCTCCAAGGAGTGAGAATCCCGGTAACTTTTTTCTTTTTTCTCTCTCATATTGAAGTCAATCCCAGGTAACTCAGCACAACTGGCAATGGGATCTGGGCCTTTCAGGTAACCGCTCGACTGGTACTGACTTCCTGCTCATCCCTCGCACCCTCTGCCCCACCATCGGAGGTCGCGCTTTCAGCCACTACGCCCCGAAACTCTGGAAGCCTCTCCCTCAATCCCTCCGCCTTGCCTCCCCCCTCTCCCCTTTTTCAAATCCTGCATGAAAACCTTCCTCTTCGATTGTGCTTACGGCCACCTCCCCAGCTCCGAGTCAGGCTCCGCCACTGTTAAGAGCTCTGAGACGTGTGGAAGGTGCTATATAAGTGCAAGTTGTTGTTATTGTAAGTATGGTGATTATGTCAAATGGTAATACTAATTTCTCATGCATTATGACCTACTTGTCACAAATTTATTCTTGGGGAGGCACTCATAGAACATCAAATGAAAAAATCTTTGGGTTTTATTTATTATAAGATGCAAATGCTGTTTAATTTCCATTGGGGGTTACATAAAACAAATCCCTAGAGTTAAAGCAAAACTGTCTTTTGCAGGTGAATGAACTGGAGGGGGACTGCTTCACTTACAACTGCAGGTAGTGTGGTCGGAAGGCCATAGACATCAACAAGTGTGTAACCACAGTCAAAACATACAGTTCAGCCATGTTGGAAGAGGATATGGAAGTGGCCATCAAGGTGGTGGTGGTTGGAAATGGGGCAGTGGGGAAATCGAGCATGATCCAACGGTACTGCAAGGGTATTTTCACCAAAGACTACAAGAAAACCATTGGTGTGGATTTCCTGGAAAGGCAAATTCAGTGAGTAATGACCTCTTCTCTGGTGCACTAATAAAAACATGAGAGATTCAACAGCTATTTAAGATGGGGGAGAAGAAACTACACATAATCCTTTTACACATGGCTGCAGAATGTCCATAGTGTTGTTTATTTTGCAAACCCCCTACAGTCTCTACAGAGGAAAATGTATGGGCAGAAAAAAAGTTAAAAGAACATATTAAAATTGAAATGTGTTTGCTCGGGGCAAGTTTCCTCAAGGTATATTTGAAGTTAAAACATCATGAACTGCAGGAAACATTTGAGTATGTTAAGTCTGGTAAATGATTTACATTTATATAACATGAGACGAGGGGAGTTCCAGAGGATAGTGGAATAGTGGAGTCCTGTTGCTAAGTGGTTAGAGCACTACCAAGCGAGAGGACCTGGGTTTGATTCCCGGCAGGGGCAAAACGTTGGGAAAGTTTTCTTACTCCACACACCTCTGTTCACCTGGCGGTAAATAGGAACCCGGTTGTGAGTCAATTAGTGGATGGCATTTCTGGGGGTAATAATCCCTTCGGAAAAAAAATTGGTCACTAAATCCACGACTGCTGTGTGCAATTTGCTGCCACATTTCACCCAAAAATATAGTCAATTCACTACAATATATTCTGTGAAGTGCTTTGAGATGCCTCAAAGATGTGATAAGGCGCTATATCAAGTGCAAGGATTATTATTATGTATTTTAGTTGCTGAAGGCTTGCACGTCTGATGGTGGATCAGAGGGAGCGGAGGATTTGGTGTAAGAAAGGAGTCAATTTGGGTAATGTGGTGAAGTTGAACAAAATGGGTCTTGGATAGGAACCTAATGTCAGGAAGAAGAGCTGAGGATTGAACCGAATACTAGGATTGTGCATTAGTTTGTGTTTGTGAGAGAGGCTAATGAATTTGAGGAGGGTCATAACTGGATGTGAGGAGACGTTGAAGAGAGATGGGGAGGATGGTTTCCGTCTTACCCATTTTGAAATGTAGGAAATTTTGGCTCATCCAGGCCTCGATGAGCAAGCAGACAGAATAGAGGTGGAGAAATAGATTTACATGTCATCCGCATACATAAGATTAATAATAATAATCTTTGCATTTGATATGGCGCCTTATCACGTCATTGAGACGTCTCAAAGCGGTTCAAGGGATATACTGTAAAGTGTAGTGTCTCTGTATTTTGTGGATGAAACATGGCAGCCAATTCCGTACAACACTGTCCCATAAATAGTTGTCGATTGAGTGACCAAATTTTTATTTTTTTGGAGTGGTTTTGCTCCTTGCTTTGGACACAGGATGTATTTATGCTTCATAAGCACACTTCACCACCATTCTTTCATTGTCAGCTGAAATGAAAGCTCCAAGTACGCCCATCTTTTCGTTGACTCTCCTGTTACTTTGAAATGTACTTCTAAAGCCTTTACTATAATGACAACTGATCTCTTTGTGATCCAAATCCTTTCATATATAATAAAGGATTAGGCAGTGTACTTGAGCAGTCCATTATTTCTCGAGTGTTGAGTCCTGTAGCTCAGTGATTAGAGTACTTGCTCCGCAAGCGAGAGAACTGAGTTCGATTCCCAGCTGGGCAATAGGTTGGACAAGTTTCCTTACTCCACACGCTTCTGTTTACCTAGTAGTAGGTAGGAACCCAGTTGTTAGTCGATTGGCGGATCGCTTTTCCTTCAAAAAAAAATTCATAAATTGGTCACTTCAATCCACGATTGTTTGTGGACCACTGCTGTGCGCAATTGGCTGCCGAGCTTCGCCCACAAAATATACAGTCATTTCACTTTACAGTATATTCTGTGAAGCGCTTTGAGACATCTCAAAGACGTGATAAGGCACTATATCAAATGCAAGGATTATTATTATTATGAAGAGAAGAATATGATTTTGTGCCATTGATTTATTTATGCAGGTTTCCCTTTACTAGGCTGCGAGGTGAGGGTCGTTCACCTTAGTTTGTTCTTGGGTGTCTCTAGGTTGGCTTTGGCAGGGAAATGCGATCATTATTTCTTGTTAAGCCATTGAAATTATAGCCTTTTTAAAACGAGTGAACACAATTAAGTCAAACTAATTGAATCATTAAAATTCCTGCAAGTAAAACTTTGGCTGCACATCTTATTGCATCTTATTGTTTTTGATTGGCAATTGTGTTCAGAGCCTAATTAAGGAGAAGGATTTTTAGTTTTCTATTTGAGAGCATTAAACGGATTCAAAGAACTTCTGTAGTGTTAGAACAAAGTAAGTGGGACAGTCCTTAGATACCACAGTGGTCATGAGCTGCAATTTTTGTTGCCAAACAGCTGTGGTTTGAGGTCTGAGCTATTTGGAAGTGGTTATTTGCAATTAACCGCATTAAGCCTGAATTCACATTCCATCAAACGTTTCTCGTGGACAGCATTTAGATGCTTTTTTTAAAATGGAATTTGAATACAGGATTTGATCTGAATGCCACTATATCTTTCAGAGTTAATGATGAGGACGTCAGGTTGATGCTGTGGGACACAGCCGGGCAAGAGGAGTTTGATGCTATAACAAAAGCGTACTATAGAGGTAAGTTAAGAACCATTCAAAATTTATAAAAGATTGCTGGTTTTGTTATCGTATTTCAGCTTGTCAATAGCTAAAATATTTAACCATTGTACAATAATCTGCATAGAAATGATTGTTTTGGGGCTGAATTTTCCATTTCTCAAAATAAAATGTTTTAGAACAGACATTGCAGATTACATGTAATAAAAATTACGTTCAATGTGGCATATGGTCTCAGTATTCCTGGAGTGATGAATGGAATCTAAGCATCTGCCTCCCACAAAGCCTTTCCTGAAAACATGGAATTAAGCCCTTCTGAGTATTTTTTTTAGATCAGTCGGGTGTCTGACACATGAGGAAACCCATCACCATTCTAAAGAGTATCCAAATCAACCTGCGATTTCCATGTATTTCATACGTTTATTTATGAAATAAAGTTCATGTTCAAAGATCAGTACAATGCAGTATATCGGAGATAGTCACAAAATTAGTAATTCTTAATGTGTTGATTGTTCTTGTGTTTGTATAACCTTAGGTGCCCAGGCCTGTGTCCTGGTGTTCTCAACTACTGACAGAGAGTCTTTCGAGGTTATCCCTGGTTGGAAGGAGAAAGTAGAGGCTGAAGTTGGAGATATCCCCACAGTCTTAGTACAGAACAAAATTGACTTACTGGATGATACAGTGATTAAAAAGTAAGAGGATATTCACTTTACTAATAGCTCATTGTCATTCAGTATTTGAGCATGGCCTTTGAAGTACATTTTTAGACACATTTTCTTTACACCTGTCGACTCTGAGTGTTCCAGGGGACAAAGGCAATTACCTTTATTTAAAACATTTAGGTTGACCAAAAAGTTATTGGTTAATGTTGATAATAAAAATCCTTGCATTCGATATAGTTTCTTTAACATTAGGGGACATCTCAAAATGCTTTACAGTGCAGTGGCTATAGATTTTGTAAGTTAAATGTGGACCAGGAACAATGTTGATTATTTTCCTAAGCCCCAGAGGGTAATGATAAATCACCAGGGATTTGTTGCCTTGTGGTGATTAAATGGAAGACAAAAGGGTATGGAGTTCAACCTAAAGTGGCTGGGCTGTAACCTTGAATAAATAGAAAGAGGTCCAGGAAGGTGAAGGAGAAGAGCAAGGATTAAAAACAGTAATAATAATAATCCTTGCATTTAATAGAGCACCTTATCATGTCATTGAGAAATCTCAAAACACTCCTCAGAATATATTGTAAAGTGAATTATAAAGCAATGAGGAGGATCTGCAGCATATTACTTGCCTGGTGTGAACAAATGAGTCATTTTAAGGGATAAGTTGTGAATAAAAGCACAGGTGTTTTTAAGTAAGTATAAAATACTGATAAATGTTATTGAAATTCACCAGCAAAGGTCGATCTCCCTATTTGGATAATGGTTGCAAGGTTGATATCATATCTGCACCATTAAGTGTCATTCATGAACCATCAACGTGCCTTGAAATACTGCAGACCTTCAACGTCAGTAAAAATATTATCTCTCTTACATTTCCTTCCTTAACCTTCCCCTCGCTTTTTTTAAGAACTGTTATTTTATTACCTTTGAAAGGGGGAAGGGATGAGTCAAACCACTGGGATTTGACCCCAATACCTTTTGGTACTCAACCAACTGAACTAACAAAGATGCAGCTGCTCTTGAACTAGAATTCTACAAAGTTCTTAGATTAGCAGTAGTAAAGGTTCCTCTACAAATATGGAAAGGATGAAATTCAGAATTAAACATGATTTGCTGACTCAGAGTTCCTGAAAGCTTGCATTGTGACTTGCTTGTTGTACTTCAGTATGTCTTTGCAACTCCAGAACAAAGTTCATAAGACATCTCAACTGTTATAGCTGTGTTGTGCAATGTCTCCCCTTACTCAATTTTATAGAAATTATGTGTGCTGTATTACCTATGAAATGCTCAGATTGTTCACTAATCATTTTGTTTTTCTTCTGATTTGGAAATAGTGAAGAGGCAGAGGGTTTGGCTAAAAGATTGAAGTTGAGATTTTATCGGGCTTCTGTGAAGGAGGATCTAAACGTGAATGAAGGTGAGTGTTCCTGGCAGAACTTTGTCTCTGGAATCGGGTGCACCAGTTTTGCTCTGCGCTTCCTGTATGGTGTTTCTGAGGAGCCTTGCCTAATATATGCTGCCCTTAGATTGCTTGGTAATTAACAGAGGTGCTTATTACCTGCCCACAAACATGAACCCACACGTGTACATACAGGAGCCAATGCAATGGGCCAGAAGGTTGCCTTCTGTGATACAAGAATAGGAAGTGTTGTGCCAACCTTTGGGAACTCCACTCCAATACTCCCAGAGGTTAATTGTGTAGTTTACATGGGCCAATAGGACATATTGATGGTTTCTGGCAGTGTCATAATTTTGGCAACTATCAGTGCTGTGGGAGCCTGTCTCTCGTCCCAATCTCAGGGAGTTGAAAAGGATTTGCACAGAAGATATTATGTATAATGAGGTGATCTTGGTGAAACAATAGTTTAATTGGATCAGTTTATATCACCTCTTTGATGAGTTTTAGGAAAACAAATCTTAGATAAACTCAGTGTATTTAATAATAGTCCTTGCATTTGATATAGCGCCTTATCAAAGTGCTTCACAGGGTTTACTGTGAAGTGGATTGACTGTGCATTTTGTGGGTGAGAATAGTTTTAAAACGATAAAATCAGTGGGAGACTGCATTTCAGAGAATCCAGATTAACATCCATTTGTTCACACAGTTTTCAAGTATCTGGCTGACAAGTACCTTCTGCGGCTCAAACAGCAAACAACAGAAGAACAGGAACAAGTGCACACAACAAGCAATCGAATAGGTATCTAGTGATTCATTTTGTAATTGCTATTGTCACAAGTCCAAAGTAAAACAACCAGAACTGTTAAGCAAGTGAATTGTGATGAAAATATTTCTGATAGCTGCAAGGAGAACCACATTCATCTGAATTACTGCAAAAGGTCGCATTTCACCTAAAGACAACATCTCCTACAATGCAGCGCTCCCCCAGTATTGCACTGGAATATCAGCCTGGACTACGAGTTTAAGTCCCAATATGGGCCTTTTGAGGCATGAGTGCTACCAACTGTGCCAAGCGGGCACCTTAAAGCTATTATATAAAATATTTCTTTCCATAGAGGGCCATCGGAATATAGAATACTCTTCTGCAAACTATTGTTGAAACATCAATTGAAAAGTTGGTTGTGCATCCATTGAGTTGTTTAAATTTGAAATAAACTGGAATTCCCCGAACTAATGTTGAAATGCTGCTTCGTGGGAAAGATCAAAATTGTTGCCTTGCTGGTTCAACAGTTGAGCAATCAACTTTTGGGTTAAAAACATTTGAACAAAGTTAGAGGAACGTTCTCCCTTCCCCCACCCCGTGGCAGCCATCAACTGGAACCTTGTCGTGATTGGAATGCCCCATGATGTGATAATTATTACCCGTGGTTGAAAGTGTTGCTTCCCATTAGGTACTTTTTACCCATCTGGTCTTATTGGCAGTCGCTAGTAACCATGGTTAGTTTAGTCATGTTAAAATACAATTGATTGAAATCTGCCTCCTTGGTTTCTTCCAGGTGTGTTCAACACAGCGGGTGGAAGTCACTCTGGCCAGAATTCCAGCATGATTAATGGGGAGATCATTAACCTTCGGCCAAACAAGCAGAGAACCAAGAAGAACAAAAACCCTTTTAGTAGCTGCTGAATACTCTAGCAGTTGAATCCTGCTGCAGTATATATAGTCTCTGCAATTGTTCAGATCAGTCAGGGTTACAATCTAGGTATCTCGGTCCTTCGGAGAGACGGTTTAATACAGTGAAGACCTGCAGTACTTGGCAGTTGGCTAACCCAAACTCTGCTTTGTGAAGACGTCAGAAAACAATCATTCAGTCTGAATTTGGAATAGGTTTTCAGAGTTCAGAATGAGACTCCTGGTGAGTGTAAGCGGGATGACTATCACAAGCTTGTCTAATTCATGTAAGGTTTTGTTTTAATTGATTGATATGTTTGATTGTTTACAAGCTAGTCACCTATGTTCTGAGACAGATGTGTTTGTGCTGCGCTGCCTCTCTGGAAACGATCTGCTCTTGCAGTATCTAGAAGGAAAGCAGTGGCGGATTCAATGTGATGATGTTCTAGCAAAGCACAATGCTTTGAGCTAGAGAGGATTCCAATACCTGGACTAAGGAACACCAGATCAAAAGTGTGATGCATTCCTTCAGGGTATTTACTAAAAAGCCTTTTTGTGTTTTAATGAATTATGAAATTCTATTGTCATTTGAACAGATGCAAAGAAAGCATTGCCATTTGTGCTTTAGATTTGTGATTGTTAATTGACATAACTAACTCCTATAAATTGTGCAATATTTCTGTGTTGGATGCAGCCTGAAGCAAATTACTTTGCTACTAGGAGCAGTTTTATCTAAAGGTGGTTTTTGAGTTGATAATTGTACTGTTTAGATATTTTAGGTAAGGAACCATTTTTGCCATTCAGTAATAATATTCACCGTTTCTAGTCTTAAGATGGGTCATTTGCTTTTTGTATGCTTGACATTTTACGATGTAATCATGTCTGTCAATTGTACGCATGGCATATTAGGAAAACTTCCTTCACGGGTCTTAACATTATTCCAAGGAAGAGAATTACACGAGTGCCAAGATGGGCCTGCAATTCTTGCTTTGCCTTTTTGTCTTGGAACAGGTAGACTGAGAAAGCTGTGAAAATCTCACACTTGGAGAATGCGAATGGCAAATAATCACAACAGATTAAAGCTGCATTACTTGCCAGCTGGAAAATCACTCTTGAATAATCCTGCCGTTTGCATCGTTTTTGGGGGGTGGGAAGGGGAGAAAATAAAATCTTGACTGTGTGCTTAAAAACAAAATATGCATCGCACCTTTAGTGCGCTCGGTCCGGATTACATTTGGCAACTGCACCACGTTCAGGCTCCAGCTGCTGTTTGCGCCCTGAGCAACAGCACCAGCATCAAACAGTCTCAGCTTCCCCCCGGCTGATTAGACAGAGCTGAGGAAGCCCTGTTTGGATTATTTAAAGCTTATTGTGTTCATGTGAGTTTACAGTTAGAGAAACGTGCACCCTTTGTGGTGCCTTTGTCGCCCTATGTTCCTATCTTTCAGAATTTGATGCTGGGGAGAACACAGTCTTTATGTAAAATTGTAAAATGAGTCACCAGATGAGTAAAGGCACAGCCCAGTGTGGAGCGGAGTCAGCTAGCCCAGGAAAGACCAGGGTTCAATTCCTGCTCTACTCAGTGAGCTGGTGTCCTACGCAGTTAATGTAAGTACTGTTAGATATTGTCTTTACAAAAGATGTGCACAATTAATATTTATAAAAATGCAACGGTTCCTCATCGTGAGAGGGAATAGGACATTATAATTCCAGGTTGGTGGGCAGACATGGAACAAACGCATTCGGCCCTTCAAGACGATTCCTTCCACCGACCACTTACAAATTTGCTCCAGCGGGGATTTTACCCAATTTTTCTTTTCTCCCCCTTCCCCCACCCCAACCTCCACCGCCATCCCCATAGTATTATAGCACTGTACTAGAATCCTGCAAGATTCTCTCTGCCCACACTCACTTTAAAAGACTATCAAAATTAACACTACGCTCATTATATAGCTGTTGGATTTTTAGGCTTCCGATTTGTTTACTTGGTTCTGGAACATTTGCTACATCACTCCCCTCACTGGAACCTGCAAAATTCTTTTTTTTTAAGATTTTGGTTCTGGATAATGGTGGAGATGACTGACTGAGGCCTAACGAGTAATCCAGATTTATTAGTTGGTGGAATATTGGTTTCTTGAACAATAAGCATGTCAAAACAGTCAGCTATTCTGCAGCTTTGATTCCTCTTGCACGTGTCGAGGATTCCACTCTGGTCATTGGAAGATTCCCTCTTCTTGATATTAACTTGGTTACACAGCAATATCACTCTGTTAGGGCAAGTGGAACTAATTTTGAGCAAGAATTTTCATGTAACTATGTTTCTTTTATTATAGCTCATAAAAATATCAATGAATTTCATTTTAAATTCTGTGAATAATGGCGGCAATAATAATGGCGTTTGTCGAAGGTATTACAAATATTTGTGCATCTGTATAAGTTTTGAATAAGTTAAAAATGTACTGCTCTTTGGGTTCCGGAGAATTCTTTGATTTTACTTATGAAATTCCATAAACTGAGCATTAATGATTATGGAAAAGACCAGTGTACAGTAAACCTCACAAGTCATATCAGATGGGACCGTACATTTAATATGACTTATGCAAAGTATGAGTTATGTCAAACTTACATAGAATATAAACTCTTGAATGGGACTTGGACAGATGTATGTCTTAGGAAATTATACAATTTATACAGATCAGACTTTAGTGAGTTTTACTGTATTTTGAAAGCTGAAAGTTTTCAATGAGTTAAATATAAGAATCCCAGCTTTTCTTTTCTCGTTCTATGATAAATATGATAGATATGATAAATACCTTTCAGAAGTAAAATTATATTTTTAGCAACAAACCTTTGTGCAACAAAGCTGTTGTATATTCTAAAATATATACAGTATATTGATATTTGATACAGGTTGTTTCAAAGCTTCTAAAAAGGCTTGAAATGTGACTGCTGCTTCAAAATTCCAAATTGTTTCATGCAAACAATTTACTGGGGACCCTTACGTAGTGTTGGCAAACCATTTATGCTGACGTTTTACAGTGGCAGTCAGCCTTAATTTGATTTGCTAAAGATATTTTTCTGTACAGTGCAATTTAAGTGGCCTTCGCTGCTGCGTTCAGAATTTATCTAGTATATGTCATATTATAGTATCACAGGCTTAATGCATGTGTTCTAGACCTTTGCCCCTTCTGGTTTACATGATGTGATCCATCAGAAAGCTTTACACCTTAAGTTCTCCTGGTCACTTGATGTGTTGCTACCTTCGGGACTCTAGCTCTGAAAGCTGCTTTTATGTTAACAATATACACGGTATATAATTACTACAATGGACATGTATGGAATAGAGATTTGGGCAATGGCAATTTCTTAACCTCTAACCAGTACCCAAACAAATCAAATTTTACTTTTACAATTTAACATTCCTCAATTCCTGTGTTGCAGCCTTTTGTGGAGCTCTTGTGGAGTAGTGTGTTGATATCTGGGAGAAGCACTAAGGAAGAGATTTCACATGTTATTATTGGATCATGAAAAACAACCTTGTACACACCATGTGCTCATACTTACCTAAATATAGATATTAATTACTGCCTTTAACTCTCTCTGGCTACCTGCCAAATTGCTATGCCCTGACAAATTATGCATATTTCATTTTCTTCACTTCATTTCATCCCTCCAATAAACCCTGAGTTTTCCCAAACAAACAGGGCTGCACCAGCACTGTTCTGCAATGTCTGGTTGGTTTGGCTTTGAATTCTTTTCGCTCTATTTAGGTTTGGCTGAGAGTGCAAGCTCACCACACGTGAGCATATTCCAGCAAAGGAGGAGGCATTTGGTCCATCAACCCATTAATTGGCTCCCATGTTTCACCCATAAAACACACAGTAAATCCACTTGACAATATATTTTGTCAAGTGCTTTGACGACATATTAAGGTGCTGCATCAAATGCAAGGTTTAGTATTATTATTAAGGAAACGTGGGCAAGTGTTTGTACCTGATGTGCTTCTTGCTGGTTTGTCACTTAAATGATGGGCTGCAGTTTTTATTTGTAGAAGATGTAAAATCCCGGAGTTTTATGGATATTTTGCACTGCGGACTCATTTCCATACGTAGATGTAAAAATATTGTGAACTAAATCAAACCATATTGATCCTGTCAGAGTCTGACGATTGTTTATTGCACAGAGGTACTGGGTACAGACAGGTCTGCTATATCATGTCAAATCTTCACAGTTCAGTTTGGTCCATTTTTTTCTGTTTTTAATTCCATTAGGTAGAGCTTCTATTTAGGATTCAAGGCTGCTTGTTCTGTGTAAATTAAACTGGATTGGTAGGAGGGAGAGGAAACATACCCACTCACTCAATACCTGCCACCTTAACTCACCCAGAACTTAAAAGTTCAGTGTTAAGACTTAAACAACACTTATTATTAAGGAAAACTAAGGTAGATTTGATTTTCCTGTCACTGTTATGTAAAGGAATACTTGCACACAATCTATATACGGTAATTTCAAGCGGAACTCATATATTTTCAAATCAGATTTAGTTTTTGGTTTGTTTGAATATTCGAAAAATAATGGAATGGAGCAACAATGCTGCTGTATACTTTTTCTGACCCAGAACCAAATATAAATGGTATAAAATGACTCTTATTATTTGCCTTGATTCATTTCATTTTCCTCCCTAAACTTTCAATTTAAATTAGGCTCCAGTTGTCATGTATTGCGGTGTGATAAAGTACATTTTCTGCACTACGTGGTCAATTTCTCCACTTGCAAGCAGTACATTACACAGTACAAGTGTGATTTTCATCAGTTGAGCTGTTCAACTTCCTGCAGGGACAATTTACTACAACTGCAATTAAACCTGATTGTGTTTATTCACCAAATGTACATTGATTTGTCCTTTGGACTGTGATGCATTGTAAAGTTGTCCAACATGCAAGTGATTCTAAATTTGTTATTGGATTTGTACTTCAAGGTGTGAAATAATTGTTTTGTGGTTTACTTTAACTAGTGTTGAATTCTTAAAATGCTCCTTATTTGGTTGCACAAATGTTCATATGCATGTCTGTTGCAATAGTGCCACACTCAAACTAATCACACTACACCTTAGCAAATTTATTTTGTTATGTCTGTATTGATCTTATAGATATTTAATAAAAATCACCTTAAGTTTTGAATTCTTTGCTTTTTTTCCCCCCCTTTTGCCAGGTCTTTGGATTTTGTTGCCGTTTTCAGTAATTCTGCACTGTACTTTATAAGAAAGGAAACTTAAATATTTATAGCATTTTATCGCTTCAAAGAAACTTGCAGCACTTTACATGAATTGTTTTTTGAAGAGAAACAACAGCCATTTGTGGCACAAAGGCCCAACAGCCAATTTATCTGGAGGATTATTGGGAAGGATAAAGAAACACCCCATTGCTGCAGTACAGCACCTCACGAGTGACCACTGGATTGTCAGCCGAGAACCATGAACTCAAATCCCAATGTGAGGCTTGAATCCACAACCCTCAGACCCGGAGGCAAAAGGGCTACAAATTGATTACTAGATGTAGAATCAAAGCTTAATTTTAACACATATGCCTTTCTACCCCCAACCTCTGGAACTCCATCCCGGAGCCCTTCCAGCCTTGCCTCTTCTTGCCTCCTTCAAGTTTGTCTCAAGACCTTCCTCCAGTCATCTTCCCACCCCCACCACCCTTGCTCTCCACCTCTCCAACCCCCAGCTCGGGTGCAAACCCTTCATGGTGCAGTGAAGGTCCACTGGACCGTGAAGGGTTTGCACTCGAGTTGGGGGTTGGAATCAAGGGGTGAAGAGCCTTGGGACATCCTCCTGATTTGAAAGGCGCTATATAAATCCAAGTTGTTAACTGTAGTAATGGGGAACCACGAGTGCCCGACTGAGGTCAGCTGACTCAGCACAGGGCTGGGGATCAAAACTGGAACTGTCAAAATATCCAAATTAAAAACAAAAAAATCTTTGTAACATTAAATCACAACAAATAGATGTTTGTCTTTTTTTAACACTTTATTTTTAATGCAGTGGAAGTGTGCATTGTGCAGAAAGTGCTTGTGTGATTTTGTGTTTTTTTTTAAAAAAAGCCCTGGAATTTACATAGGAATGTAAAACACACTTCATATATTCTGCAACATGACTGCAAACATAACCAACTATTGTTTTACTACAAACCAGCAGACATCATGCAATCTTACAAGCCATTGTTTTCCAAAGCTATTACATTGAAACCATCAGATGGAGATAACCTTGTTGTAATCCATTATTTGTTTTAACCAATGAAAATGTCAACTGGGGCAAAATTTGCAGCATCTCTATAACTTGATACGAGGAACCCAAGATGAAACGGCAAAATTTATGTTCCTTAACACTGCCTGCAATCGGTGATTTCCTCCTCCACAGAACCTTTGCTCAACCCGGGTTCTATCCTTATTCTTTCCCGGGGTCCTGCTCAAATCTACTTTGCTAAAAGCATTACAGGAGTGGAAAATAGATTTATTTCATCTTCCAGGAAGCATCGAGAAAGGCAACGGGATTGAGTTCAGACACGGATCAAGTGACAAGATTCCTTAATGTTTCGTAATGTGTTCCTTATGTTATCAAAATCTGCAAACTATCTCAAAATCAGCCAAATAAATTCTATTTCTCTCCCCCCCCCCCCCCCCCAACTACCAACTAACCAACTCTATATTTTTACTATGTCCTGTTTTCTCTCCATGCCTCTTAATAACCTTATTCCTCAACAACGGGAAGAAATATTTTCTATGTTCCCTTGTTCTAGATTAATTTACCAGAGGGAAAAGTTCTTCCCTTTTGACTGTCATTTCCCTTTATTACTGTAACTTCAATCAAATAACACTTTAACTTCTACAGCGGAATGGAACAAACCCCAGGCATCTCAAATTGATAGCTTGATTTCAGGTTGTTTAACTACCTCCAAGGCTAAAATTTATTTTGCCAACAAAATACACAGTCACTACGGTCTATAGTAAATCACGTGAAGCACTTTGAGGCATCAATGATATGATAAGGTGCTATATTAAATGCAAGGATTATTATTCCATATGTGGGGAATCCAAATTGAGTGCAATGTTCCATTAGGACTATATCTATTTCTTTGTTTAGGATTTCTTTATTAGGATTAGTCCGGTGGCTGGTAGTCCTAGTTGTTAGACATCTCTTGCGGGAAACTTTAGAATTGTAATGTGTACCTTTTCCAATGAGCTACTGTTTAAATTGTTTTATTTCCGCCTGGCACAGTGACGTGGAGTTTATAATGGATGGCTATTAATGGTAGGCTTCTCTTTCTGTTGATCCAAGAGCCTGATAGACTTGTCTGCGTTGCTCACGTTCCTGATCAAGGTTTCCAATCTCCTTTTAAGTTTCTTCTGATCCTCCAAGGCGCAGCCTATCATTATGGCTTGAAACTTCTGATCGACCGGGCCAGGCAGAGCCTCTGAGGTGCAGGCATTATGCATGGCCATAAGACGATCCTTCGCACTGCCCAAGTCTTTGAGGATCTGGTTAGCGATCTCATCGATCAAGGCGGTGGCTTTCCCCAGGAATTCCTCCTGCTGAGGGCTACGAATGATCTCCAGGGAAATGTTAACAGTTAGAGTACGGTCCAAGAGGCGATTCGCTGTCAAATTAAGTTCTTCCCTTTCCCCTGTTTGAAGACGAATATCAAATGATGAACGAAAATGTTTACAACTTTCTAATTCAATGAGAACGATGCACAAGATGCCACTGATAGGAGCAGATCTTTTGATCACTTCCTCTGCCTTTTCTCCCTACACCTTCATGCCACATATCTATCCATCTGCTCTTTAAATGTCTTGATTGAGTGATTGATTGATTCTGTCTCTATTGGCCTTCTGGAGAAGAGCATTCGACAATTAATACAGTCAATCCATTTTATAGTCTGTGAAGCGCTTTGAGATGTCTCAATGACGTGGTAGGGCGCTGTATCAAATGCAAGGATTATTTTTATTATAAATCTGCTTTGATCAGCCAGGTGTCTGACATATGTGGAAACCCATCATGATGCTTAAGGGCACGCAAACCAGAGTTCCCTGCAGCCCACCTACACGTGGCCATTCCTGTGTATTTTATCCTGTGAATTCTCCAAATAAGTCACCTAATCTAATTCCATAATAATTGTTTCTACAATTTCTTTGATATTCCCCTTTAAAATAATGAGTGAGTGAATAATCGAGTAAGAGAATTCCACATTCCACCTTTTGTCGAATTATTTTTTCTAAGCTCTTTAATTCCTTTAGTGATTACGTTACAGTTTACAGCAGAAGTGCAGTTCAAGAGCCACAGTTAAAACATAACAGCATAATATTTGCAGCACATAATAAGGCCATTCAGCTGATCGTGTCTGTGCTGGACTCAAAGAGCCATTCAGTCCTATTCCCCCCTCGCTCCCTACTTTTCAAACCTGCCTCAACATTTACTTCTTTGACCACACTTTCGGTCGTCTCCATCCCACCACCCCTTTTCACCTCTTCCCCTGGCTCAGGTGCTCAGCCAGCTGTGGGAAGTTATTATTAATATCCTTGTAATTGAAGCAAGCGCCAGTAAATAAAGGGCATTAATATACTGTAATTTTTCACCGAATTGAAGATAGTAATATCTAAGTGGGGCTAGTTTTAGGTGAAGAGGCTGCATTGTATGATGTTAAGCACCATCGTAACTCAAGCACAGTGTCACTTTGTTAAGTCACTCAACACATGAAGACACTCTCCAAATATAGGTGAACTGTGTTTACTCAAGCACTCACCATCACTAATATTCCTCATTTCTTGGCTGCTTTGTACACTCTGGATCAGCTCCAGCAGGGACTCCTTCTCTTGTTCTATGGAGATTGCTGCTTCACGCATCGATTCAACCCTGAGACAATCACATTGACATTATTAACAGTTATGGAAGAAATAATGTAAAGTCCTGTAGCGTAGTGGTTAGCACACTCACCACACAAGCCAGAGGACCTGGGTTCTATTTCCAGGCAGAACAAAACCTTAGTTAAGTTCCTGTTTACCTAGTTGGAACCTGGTTGTTAGTCGATTGGCGGATAACTTTCCAGGTGTAATAATCCCTTAAAATAAAGAATTTGGTCACTTAATCCACGACTGTTTGTGGGACACTTTTGTTTCGTCCACAAAATACACAGTCAATTGACTTTACAGCATATTCTGTGAAGCACTTTGAGATGTCTCAACAATGTGACAAGGCGCTATATCAAATGCAAGGATTATTATAAATAAAACAGACCTTCAGAAATTAACTTTCACAACTTCATTGGGCTCTGCTGGAGGGAACAAGTGACACAGTTACAGGGTAGCCCCAGTCTGCTGAACACAGGACCTGGGACTCAGAGTCCTATATTGACACATACAGGATCATTTGCGCTTAGTGACCTACACCAATAATAATAATAATAATCCAGGTATTTAATATAACCAATATGTTTCAAAGTTCTTGATGGCTAATTGCTGTAAATATAGTGACTGAGTATTTTGTAGGCAAATGCAGCATCTATATGTAATCACTGTAAGGTCCCACACACATCCACAAATGATTAATTTATCAAAATAATAATAATCCTTGCATTTGGTATCGCACTTGATCACATCTTTGAGGCATCTCAAAGCGCTTCACAGAATATACTGTAAAGTGAATTGACTGTATATTTGTGGGCGAAACGGGGCAGCCAATTGAAACCTGAAGGATTCTTGGTCAACAACACCAGATGATCCACTCCTCTCTTTGAATTGTGCTGCATGAATAAGCAGATGGGACCTTGGTTTAAAGTCTTGTTCAAAGGATGGTCCCTCTCAAACTCAGCCCTCCCAGGCATTGCACTGGTCAGTCTAGACTATGAGCTCATAAGATCATAAGAACTCCAGTTCCAATGTGTATTTCTGACTCAGAGGCACGAGTGATACCAACTGCATAGGCCTTCACCTCTTGAGAGTTGTGTGAAGGTTCATGCTTTCTTCTGTGTACCAACAGTTCCCACTACGTGCACTATATAGCAATCAGATACTTGAATTTTATGATCTCCTTTGCTCTGGGGAGCTCAGGCCCATTGTAGTAGCTCTTACTACAAACAAACAGGAGCATGCAATGCACACACACAGATAAGCACACTACTAGGACACATGGTAGAACAAGAAACTGCAAATAGTTTGAAAAGGGAAATAAACAACTTTTTGTCACGTAAAAAGGCTTCGAGGTTTGTAAATTTATAATAATGGTAATTATCTTTGCATTTGATATCATGCATCCTTGGGGATGAGCCTTGGGACATCCTTCCGACGTGAAAGGCGCTATACAAATGTGATCTTGTTGTTGCATTGTCACAATGTTGAGACGTCTCAAAACGCTTCACAGGAAACACTGTAAAGTGCAGTGACTGTATTTTGTGGACAAAAGCCCACACAGCAATATCACACAATCATGGAGTGAGTGACCAGTTTTATTTGGGGGATTGTTGGCCAGAACACCGGAAGAAATGCCCTTCACTTTTCGAATAGTACCATGGGATCTTTAATATCCAGCTGAACAGACAGATGGGATCTCAGTTTAATGTCTCATCCGAAGGACAGCATCTCCGACAATGCAACACCCCCCAGCGCTGCATTGGAACATCAGCTTAGACAATGCGATTCCAAGTCTCAATGTTGGGCTTGAACCCACAACCTTCTGACTCAGAGGCAAGAGTACTACCACTGAACCAGGTTGGGAAATTGGATGGGCAGGCTCGCTGAATCAATGGCCTAAACCTGCCTCACTCATATGGTAACTGCTATATATATTTCTTCTGCTTCAGCTGAGTACAGCTAACTCAGCTGGAGACTGGAGATTGAACCATGGAATATTATGTTGTCTGGGATATTTTCTTGTCTGGGATATAGAATCATTGAAATTTATGTCAGAAAGAGACCATTTGACTGGCTCTCAGAATAAGATGTTCATTCAATTCTACTGCCCTGCCTTATCTCCAAACCACTTCAAGTCTCTATCATTCATAAACCTACTTATTCCCTCTTAAAATCCATAATGTGAAGTCCTGCAGCTTAGTGGTTAGAGTGTACGCCTCTCGACCGAGAGGACCTGGGCTTGATTCCTGGCAGGGCGAAACATTGGGCAAGTTTCCTTACTACGCTCTCCTCTGTTTACCTAGCAGTAAGTAGGAATCCGGTTGTTAGTCAATTGGCGGATTTCTTTCCGGGGTTAATAATCCCTCCAAAAAATAAACTATTTGGTCACTCAATCCACGATTGTTTGTGGGACACTGCTGTTCGCTGCTGCGTTTCATCCAGAAAATATACAATCAATTCACTTTACAGTGTATTCTGTGAAGCACTTTGAGATGTCCTGAAGACGTGATAAGGCGCTAAATAAAATACAAGGATTATTATTATTATAATAGACTCTGCTTCCAATTCCTTGTCTGCATGGCTGCTTTCACACTATTCTTGGGGGGTCAGCCAGGTGTCTGACACATGCGGAAACCCATTACCGTGCTTAAGAGTATCTAAACCAAGCTGAGCATTCCATGCATCCTACCTACATGTAGAAATTCCAGAGATAGATTGCTGGAAGGATGGATTCTGCTTACCTAATTCTGGAAAGTATTAGGCGCAGGTTGACCAGAGCCAAAGATTGGGGACCTGGAGTTTGTGTTGGGGTAACTGCTGGAGTCTGACCAGCTAAAACTGCATTGCTTGCCATTGATATTGCTGTTCGGCAAGTTTTCCCGCTACTTGTCGCACTAGAACCACGCTACCCGTTAGGTCTTTGGCTTGCAACAACAACAACAGGATTACATTTGTACAGCGCCTTTCACGTTGGGAGGACGTCCCAAGGCGCTGGACAGAGTACAGCATTACAGCGTCTCAGACCCAAGCTGTAGTTGGGGGGGAAGGAAGGGAAGGGGAAGGGGGGTGGCCGATGGCATGGTCGAAGAGGAGGGTCTTGAGGCGGGACTTGAAGGAGGCTAAAGAGGGGGCGAGGCGGAGTGATTGGGGGATAGAATTCCAGAGGTTGGGGGCAGAGTGGCTGAAAGCTCTCCCGCCAATGGTGGGGCGGGTGGGTCAGGGGACATGGAGCAGGCCAGAGCCGGCTGAGCGGAAGGAACGGGCGGGTTGGTAGGGGGTTAGGAGGACACAGAGGTAAGGTGGGGCGAGGCAAGGATAACAGTAGCTGGTTGGGAAGTGTCCCTGCTCCCAGTGACTGGTCTGCTCTTCCAGATCCTGCCAATGTCATCAGCAGTGCCCTGGAATACTGCGGACCTGCCCGGCTTATGAACTGGACCACAGAGACCGCCAGCCAGAGGGCTGACTCGATTCCCACATTCGATTGCCAAAAGTGTCATCTCGTTTGCCCCCTTACTGACTTGGCGCAAATGAAGAATCGCCAGGTTTTCTCTCACAATCTCTCGCAAAGCCACGAGTAGAGGCTAACCTTTCTTATGGGGATGTGGAGGGCAAATCAGCAAGTCAAAACAACAGGAGCATTGCAGCTACAGGTGGTACGTGATTTAGGGAATCCTTTCAAAGGAAGACAGAAAAAGAGCAATTGCAAAAGGCAACAATAGAGAAACATACCCACGTGGGAAGAATCTTAATATAATAATAATAATATAATAATAATCCTTGCATTTGATATAGCGCTTTTCACGTCGGGAGGACGTTCCAAAGCACTTCACAGAACACACTGTAAAGTGAATTGACTGTATATTTGTGGGCGAACGCGGCAGCCAATTGCGCACAGCAATGTCCCACAAACAGTCGTAGATTCAAAATGACCAATTTATTATTGTTTTGGGTTTTTGGAGGGATTATTATTAGGCTCTATGTGGAGTAAGGAAACTTGCCCAAGGTTTCGCCCTCTGCCTGGAAATGAACGCAGGTCTCTCGCTTGCAAAGCGAGTGCTCTAACCACTGAGCTACAGGACTCTGTTTCAGTTCTATTGAAACCCCAGACAACAAGTATATGTCATCAGACCACTGGTCTGGAACAGAGGTCTGGCTCAATTCCGATATTCCGTTGTCAAGCATTGGAGCCAGTTCAGCTCCATTGAGTCCCCACTTTCACAGTAGAACAATGTGGCTTTATTAATTGAGCTATTGGGCAAAAAAGACAAAGCGCTAAATCCAACACAGTTAGCATTCATACAGCGCCTTTCACATCAGGAAGATGTCTCAAAGCACTTCACGCAGCTTGCCGGGCAGCCAAACTGGGGGGAGGGAGAGAGATAGAAAGGATGAAGGGAAAGATGACAACAACAACAACAACTTTCATTTATATAGCACCCTTCATGCGAGGTGGAGTCTTGGAGAGCTTAAAAGACCAAAGTAGCGGTTAAAGAGGTACTGTATATCTTAAGGTGAGTTTTAACAATGGGGAGGAAGGGGACAAGTCAAAAGGACTCTGGGATGGAGTTCTAGCAAGTGAGGGCAGAATGGCTGAAAGCTCTCCCACCTACTTAACAAGGAATTAGAAAAATACATGAGGATAAATACTGATGTGGAATAAGCATCATTGCTTATCTAACTAGGACTACCCTAGCCATTAGGATTTTATTTTAATAGGAACAATAATCCCTGCATTTGCCGAACGTTTCGCCCAGGCCGGACGAATATTAGGCAAGTTTCTTTACTGAACACACCCCGGTTTACCGAGCAGGGAGTAGGAACCCAGTTGTTAGTCGATTGGCAGATCGCTTTTCTGGTGGTAATATTCCCTTCAAAATTTTCTTAAACAAACAAGCAAACAAGTAAACAAATAAATTGGTCGCTGAATCCACAAATATTTGTGGGACTCTGATGTGTGCAATTGGCTGCTGTTTTTCGTGCACAAAATATAACCAATTCATTTGAGTATATTCCGTGAAGCACTTTGTGATATCTCAAAGACATGATAAGGCACTATATCAAATGCAAGTGTTATTATTATTCCCGCCCAGGAATTGAACCCAGGTCTGTCATCAGCCCTGGAGTAACGAAGACCTGCCTGGTTTGTTATGTGTTAGTCGTATAAAATCTGACTTATGGATAACTTGTGTTTTGCGTAAGTCATAGTAAATGTGATTATTTGGACTGATATGATTTATGCGAGTGTAGCTGAATTCGATAGCCGGTCAACTTAACTTGGGAGCTTTCTCCAAATAAACCTTCACCTGAACTAACAACAACCCCCAACACTAATGTGGGATCATACAAAATACAAATCAATTTAATTTTTAATTTGTTTTTTTTTAAAATTGGTAACATCTGACGTAAGATAAGAGAATATAAGCATTCAGTGAGATTAGAAAGTAAGTGGGGCTTGGCGTTTCTGTAAAGCCACTGTGAAAACCAGCAAGTGAAATCACTAACTGGAGCATAAGGCAAAAAAGGTCTTGTCTAAAAATAGGCACAAGAAGCACTTCTCAGTATCACAAGAAGCCTCGCTGGATGCAGAACTATCTTTAGGTTTCTTACCTCTTTTCCAATAGCTCTTCTTCACGTCTATTTGTGGTTAACCACTGAGAGAGCAACAAGCCTTGAATTGCTTTTTTTTTTGTCTCTCTCTCTCTGAGCTAGTTTTATAAACTCCATGGGGGATGAGGGTGTTAAACAAATAAAATAGAGCAAATAACACAACAGCAATGAACAGTGCAGTCTTTGGCAACACTGGATTGAGTGAGATCATTAATAGCACAAGGCAACAGCACAAGAATTGCACAGTAACGTCTTAGTGACATGTCCTTTCACACTGCATTCATTCCAAGGCAGTGCTCGGGTGCGATACTGTGTGTGTGTGTGTTTGTTTGTGTCTTGGGAGAAGAAAGGAGGAATTGCCACAATCACAACCGTTTTCCTTACCTTATTCTAAATCATCTAAAATTTCCAGCAGTCTGCCAGATCGGGCTGCCATGGAGATGGAACGACAGAATTTATTCTCGGGATCGCAGGCTCTACCGTTTATTTTAAGCTGTGCCATGGCTCTGTGTTGCTGTTCTGCTGCAAGAGTGAGAGTCGAGGTCTGAGCGTCTGATCCAAACCACCCACTTCTCCTTCCTTGCTTCCCCGGGGAGGGAGCTGGTGTGAGCTCAGTCACACACACACACACACACTGCTGCGCTGTGCTGTGCTGTCCTCTGTTCGCCACAAACCTTTGCAGCATTGCCAAACATGGGCATTGCCAAACAACACCACACTTTCACCTGTTATTATGCAACCGACCGATTCGTCTGATCATTTCTTGTACTAAAATTTATAAATGTATTTTTTGGTCAGCCTGGTGTCTGACACATGTGGCAATCCATCAAAATAATAATAATAATAATAATAATAGTAGAAATCCTTGCATTTGATATAGCGCCTTATCATACCTTCAAGATGCTCCAAACCCTTCACAGAATATACTGTGAAGTGAATTAACTATCTTGTGGGCGAAACACGGCAACCAATTGCGTACAGCAGTGTCCCACAAACTCTCACATCTCACATATACAGGGAAATTCCACAGATACTGAACCTTTTTGTTTAGATGTTCAACTAAAACAATTTCAGGATTCAATGGCGACTGCTGGCTTGTGCTCTCCTCTCACCCTGAGGGCGGAAGATGGGGCTGTTTATGTATGTGACATTCATTTCCACGATGCGATAATTGGGAACAAAGTGAAGAGAGTCCTTTAAATTCACTGCTCTGAATATATTGATCTGCCTTGTGTATCGGCAGCTCAATTGACTCGTAATCCCCCAGATAAAATTGGTCACTCCCTTAAAAACTCTTCTGGGGGACACTGCTGTGCGAAATTGGCTGCCGCCTTCACCTGTTCGCTACTGGTGGTGTAGCTAAGGAATGGAAATTTGGGTGGGCACCAACTTATAGTGGATGAGCAGTGACTAAATTTCCAATAGCGGCTACGTTCTCTGTGAGGGGAAGAGATGGAGCAGAAGGTATGATGCAGTGGCATAGCTAGGAATGGAAATTCAGTCATTGCCTATAAATTGGTGAGAGGCGAACAGGAGATATAATAATAATACTAATACTGATAATAATAATCCTTGCATTTGATAAGAGCGTTTTCACGTCTTCTCGACGTCTCAAAGTGCTCCACAGAATAGACTGTAAAGTGAATTGACTGTATATTTGTGGACGAAATGCAGCAGCCGATTGCGCACAGCAGTGTCCCACAAACAATTGTGGATTGAAATGACCAATTTATTATTGTTTTATTTTGAGGGATTATTATCAGGCGTGTGGAGTAAGGAAAGTTGCCCAAGGCTTCTCCTGCCAGGAATCAAACCCAGGTCTCTCGTTTGCAAAGCGAGTGCTCTAACCACTGAGCTACAGGACTCCACGATATGAGCTAACATGGAGAGCAGCTTGTGTACTCTTGCGCACCAAGCTCCGCAACCCCATCACTCCCACCTTTGCCACATCCCTCAGAGGATCGAACTCAAGATCCTCATCCTCACTTTCAAGCCCATCCATGGCCTTGCCCACTCCTACCTCGCCGACCTGCTGACTCCCTACCAACCTATCTGTTCAGCAGGCACCGGCCTGCTCAATGTCTCCCGCCTGACCCGCTCTACCATTCGGTGGCCGGGCTTTCAGCCTTTCTGCTCCCACACTCTGGAAGTCCATCCCACAATCCCTTCGCCTCGCTTCTTCCCTTGCCTCCTTCTAGGCCGGTCTCAAGACCCTCCTCTTCGATCGTGTCTTCAGTGGCCCTCCCACCTCTTTGCCTTCCCTCAACACCACCCCTTCCCTATGCTCGGGTCCTGACCCCTGACCATCCAGCACCTTGGGACGTTCTCCTGACGTGAAAGGCAGTCTCTTAATGTAATTTTGTTGTTGTTGAGCAACGGGTGTGCCTGGGTGCTAATTGGCTAAGTGGTCATTGCTCGCCCATGGCTAGGTCCTTGGTCATTATGCTTTACGGTAAAATCCTTTAAGTTTTGTGCAGCGCTCCGAGACGCTATCCTGCATGAAGGTGTCATAAAAATGCAAGTTGTTGCTTGTTATTTGAAATGCAAAGATTATTATTATTATTTTAAATGTTCTGGACCTTCAACAAAAGAGGGTAATAATATGTGGGAGAGCTGTGGGAAGGAAAGAGTCCTTTTCCAATTGCTTGGCAAATGTACATCATCTGTGTTTGAGCTTATAACTGGAAATGTAACTGCCCGTTGACAACCCGTTTCCTTTTATGGGAATGAAAAATTAAATGGGAATCTGAAACAATAAAGCAGAAATGCTGGAAAACCACAGGCTGTAAAACATCTGATCCAGAAAAATAAATGATGTTGAGATCACAGCTCCCACCCCCATTCCCTCATTTGAACTCCCGACAACCCCCGTCCCCCCGTGAAGGGTCGTTCGCCTGAGTTATTTTCAATGAAACATGGGAGGATGGAAAACAGAGGATACAGAGAGAAAATATCAGAAGGAAGCCAAGGTTTGCAAATTGCAGCTTGGGCCTTAAACCTCGTAACGTATTTCTTTGACCGAACTTTCAGTCTTCTTTCCTCTCCTCACCCTCCCACCCCTCTGCCCCCAAGACCCCACCACAAATTTACATTGATACATTGGGAGGACCCAACTCCCACTCTCAGCTCTGATATCTAGCCTGAATTGCCTAGCGTTTTTTGAGACATCCTCCTGAAGTGAGACACTACAGTGATTGAGAGCAAATTGTATTGTTTAATAAAGATTTAAAAAGTATGGACAGTGCTCTGGGACGCTACCCTGCGTATGGGCGCTATATAAATGTAGGTTGTTGTTGGATGTAAGCAAGCAGATTATAATGAACCTTGTCTATCTCCTTTTCTATAATTATTCATAACTTTGTATTATGGTCAGACATTTAAATCCCTGACCTGCTCTGATTCACTGCCCACAACTGGGTCGAGCAGTGCTTCTCCTCATGTTGGATATGATTAAGTCTGGTCTGAATGGAATATTCTGGACGCCTAAAAGTCATAGCCTTGCAAAATTTGTCACACTTTACTCGCATAATTGTTTGTGGGACCCACAAAATACAGTGAATTCACTTTACAGTATATTCTGTGAAGCGCTTTGAGACGTCTCAACGTGATAAGGCGGTGTATCAAATGGAAAGTTTATTATTATTATGAAAGGCCACGGCGGCAAATTCAATTGAGGATGTTTAAAAGGGAGATAGGTGCTTAGGATGCAAGGGATTATTAAAGAATATTAGGAAAAGACAACAAAACGGGATCAAAAAAAACTTTCATTTATATAGTGTCCTTCACAGGATAGGGTCTCAGAATGCTAAAATGGGATTAATGACCTGCTGATCCGTTAAAGTGCTATGATCTAATAAAGTGGCGAAAAAGTCTTAGTGAGTTAAACTGGAACCAAAAATTAATCTGGATTACCACGCAACACAAATATTCGACTTTTAAAAATATTTAGCTATTTATAGAGGTACTGTACACAGAGCCTTGCAAATGTTTCTATTTCCTTTTCACGTATATATCCAATTTTGAAATAATAATGATCCACGCATTTGATATAGATTTGGGAGGATGGATTGTTTGATCAGAGGCAACAGAGGGAGCCCTGATCACAGAGAGAGAAAGAGAGGATATGTGGTTTACCTTGTTGAGGGCTATCTCAACACAAAAAAATTACATCTGCATAGCGCCTATCACGTTGGGAGGACTTCCGAAGGCGCTGAGGGAGTGGCAACACAGCGTTCATTGGAACAGAGGGTTGAGGAAGCTAATATAGATTCTGCCTCAATCACCACTCCCAGTAGGGCATTCGACTGTATGAAAAAAACAACCTCCTCATCTCCGTCTTCGCTCTTTAAAATTTAGGAGAGGGTTTTGATAGTCGTCAACAGGGAGAAATTATTTCCATTGGTCAGTGTGTCATTGACTAGTGGGCATTAATTTAAAATAGTTAGTAAATGAGTGGTGGTTGTGGCAGAACCTATTAGCTTCCAAAAGGAAACAGCGTTGCTACCGAAAAGGAGTAAACTACAGGAATAATATTATAATCCTTGCATTTGATATAGTGCTTTATCACATCTTCAAGACGTCTCAAAGCGCTTCACGGAATATACTGCAAAGTGAATTGACTGTATATTTTGTGGGTGAAACGCATCAGTCAATTACGCACAGCAGTATTCCACAAACACTCGCGGATTGAAGTTACCCATTTATTATTATTTTTCAAAGGAATTATTACCCCCAGAACAGCGATCCACCAATTGACTAACAATCAGGTTCTACTTACTGCTAGGTAAACAGAAGCGTGTGGAGCAAGGAAACTCACCCAATGTTTAGCCCTGCCGGGAATCAAACCTAGGTCCCTTGCTTGCTCGGCGAGTGCTTGAATCCCTGAGCTACAGGACTCCACAGGAATATGGAGAACAGGCAGGAAAATGGGACTGAAAGGATTGTTCTTAAAAGAGCCAACACAGAAATGATGACCTGTAAATTTCTATGCTCCTTAAAAACCCATCTTAACTGCATCTATGGTCACCTCACTTTCCGCCCTCGTCTTTGCTCAACGTCCAACCATGTCTCTGTGAAGTACTCTTGGAGACTCCATGCTACGCGAAGTGTGTTATATAAATAAATGCTAGTTGTTGTTGTAGTTGTTGTTTAATAATGGAGGCCAGCATAGCAAAATCGAGATGCTCACTTGATTTGTTTTCAATTAGTAAATAATCCCTGCATTTGATAATAACAATCCTTGCATTTGATATAAGCCCCTTATCACGTCTTCGAGGTATCTCAAAGAGCTTAACAGAATATACTGTAAAATGAATTGACTGTATTTTGTGGGCGAAACACAGCAGTCAATTCCACACAGCAGTATTCCACAAACAGTTGTGGATTGAATGACCAAATTATTATTTTTTAAGGGAACATTATCCCTAGAAACAAGATTCACCAATCGACTAATAACCATATTCCTATTTATTGCAAGGTAATAAGGAATGAATGTGGAGTAATGAAACTTGTCTAAAGTTTCACCCTGTCTGGGAACCGACCCCTGTCCTCTCCCTAACCAATACACTACAGGACTCCATGCTTAACATTTGTTTTGCTCTGTACAGGATACGCCGCTCAGAGCCATCAAAAAAAAAGTACAGCACGTGAAAGGAACTTTTATTTTCGTTCATAAAAAAACTCCCAAAATATCAGGTACAGCAGGAACTCAAACAATACAAGAAACCCGGTCGCTCCTCCCATTCTCACGGTAAAGCTCACAAACCAACATTCATCTTTAGAGCTCCAGTGATAAACAAAAAAAAATGAAGACAACAGAAAAGGGCAGAAAATAAAAGCAATATCTGAGAGGATATCTACTGCAGCAGGTTTATAAATCAAAAATTGTGTCTTCATCCCATCCTGTGGGTTTCAACCCAATAATAGATGAAATCAAGAAATGCAAAGAAAAATAAATGTATTCTTTGTTCTATCTTCTAATCCAAGCGCCAGGGTTAGCAGTAACAGGAGTAACCAGTGTTAATACCTTTTTTTCAAATGGCTCCAATCAATGTAAAGCACTGCATAATACAGTACGTCAATGCGGTGATGCAAGCTGGATTTTCTCTCTCTGTCTCAACTGCACTGCTCACAGGCACCGCAGATCTGTGCAGGGCAAGTTAGTGTTGCATTCTTTCAAGTTCCAAAGGCATCTATCTCACTCTTAATCCTCAACGTCCATTTAACGGAAGCTTCGTTTCTGTCGTCAATGAAAGGTCTTTCTTCCACACCTGCCAATGGCCAAGACCTGACTGGCGTTGACAGGGAGCTCGTTCTACTTTAAACATCTGCTTTTCTTTTTTTTAGCCCCCTCTAATTCTTCGCTTCCCTTTTTCGTTCTTTCCCCCCACTCCACCACAACAAAATGCCAGATAAAGGATTACATTTTCTTTGGTTAACGATCACGGAACAGCCTTCAGGACCCGACAAGTTTGCACAAGCGAGCCCGTGAGCAGCGAGTTAATATTCCCCTCCCCTTCCCCCAACCTTCAATGGCTTCTCCTCATTTATTTTTCCTCCAGACTTCGCAGAATGGCTTCTTCGAGCTCCGTATCTGAAACAAACGCAGGCATCAATAACCTGAACCAAGCCCCCGATGCATCGCCACAGGACTTGTGAAACACCTTTATTACCAGACAGAAGACTCGACACAAATGCCCTGCATCAGTCAACTCTCGTATGTTGAGTCCATCGGTGTGAAAGCCTGAAAGACGGTTCTGGACAGACATGTTTTGGGTGGCAGAAAACAGAAAACGCACACGCAAAAAGGTCAGCAAAGCAAACAGGTACAATCTTAGTTGAGGAGACTGTTCATTGGAACAGAAATCTTTCTCTCTCTCTCTCTCTCTCACGCTGACTTAAGCGCTGTGTATTTCTAGTGTGACACCTTTCGGGAAAAAAAGGAAGTTGACTGAAGATATATGCTGGAGACAGCGATCACAACTCAGGCAAGTCTTGTTCCCCTGAGGTTAGCTGCGAAGGGAGGTTCTGACATGTAATACAGTAAAGCTCATAGAATATTTTCTGTGAAGCGCTTTGAGACGTCTTAGTGACGTGATAAGGTGCTATATCAAATGCAAGGATGATTATTATAAACTCCCTTCCATTTTCAAATAATCCCGTGGGATCTTTAACATCCACCAGAACAGACAGATTTCACATCGGTTTAACGTCTCAATTTAAGGACGGTAACTCGGACCCAAGGACTACCCCAGCAATGAACTGGAGTGTCAGCCTGGACTGTGAGCTCCAACTCACAAATGGGGGCTGAACCCATTTGTTTTGGAGGCAAAAGTCCCACCAACTGAGCCAGACTGACACCATGTATTACACAGGGACGTCCAGCAGTCAGGAGAGGTTAACAAGGAGTGACAGAGGATAGTCCAATGCACTAATTGATTATTAATAATAATTCTTGCATGTGATATAGCGCATTTACACATTGTTGAGTCGTCTCAAAACGCTTCACAGGATTTACTGTAAAGTGGATTGACTGTGTAGTTTATGGGCGAAACACGACAGCCAGTGCGCACAGCAGTGTCCCACGAACAGTCATGGACTGAGTGACCAAATTTTATTTGGAGGATTGTTGGCCAGGAAATCAGGAGAGGGATAATCCGAAGGACAGATTATTTGAACAATAATGAACCCCATTCTTTGAAATCGTCAACAACTGACTGCAAAAACGGCCACAAATAGTAATAAACAAACACAAAAGATTGCACTGCACCTTCATCAACGGTGACCTGCTTTTTCAGGCTCTCCTCCAAACTGACAGCCAGGGCCTCTTGAAGGGCATCATCCTCATCATCACTACCTGGAATGTAAGAAAGGAAATAAAGTCAACCCACCACACAGAGCGGAGAGGCCGGGCGGGAATCAGAACCAGTTACCTTCTACAACACAAGACCGGGACTGACTGAGATCAGAGCTCTCTTCACCTTCTTTCTCCTCAACACAGGAACAACAAAAAAAACTTTGCTTTTGAATACAGCTCTGTCTACCCTCTGAACCATTTGTCTGTACTTGGTTTGTGGGCAAGTTCTTTATTGAATTGCAGGAAGGTAGATAAGTGTTCAGCAAAAACACTTCTCCCTTAAGCTGAGTAAATGGTTTCCTTTGTGATCCGGATCTCTTATGATTACCCCCAGCCCATTGGAACTTTTTGTTACGTATTTATATATCTATATATATTTCCAGTTCTTGTGGGATCTCTTACATGGAGGGGGAGGGAGCAAATTCAGTGCTTCCCCAATTCGCAAGTAATAACAGTTCAATAACAATAACCCTTCATTTGATATAGCATCTTATCAAGTCGTTGAGAATAATTATTNAAAAAATCCTTGCATTTGATAATAGTTCCTTATCACATCGTTGAGAATTCTCAAAGTGTTTCGCAGAATATACTGTTATACACAGAATATACAACGAATTGACTGTATATTTTGTGGGTGAAACGCGGCAGCCAATTGCACACAGCAGTGTCCCACAAACAGTCGTGGATTGAGTAACCACATTTTTATTTTTAGTTTTAAGAAGGAAATTATTACTCCCGGAAAGCAACCTGCTAATCAACTAACATTGCTAGGTAAACAGAGATGTGAGAAGGAAGAAACTTGCCTAAGGTTTCGCCCTGCCCGAGAATAAGGAATCCTCTTGCTCTAACCAATACACTACAGGATAACTGCTCCAGGACTCCACGGTTCAAACTGTCGATGTACATGCTGAAATAACTCGAGCTTTTCCTATGAACGTCCGTCCACGCAGCTCTAACCTAGCTGCTTCCCATCCTTTTAAAGCAGAGATGTTCCTTCCTGATAAAACTGGCACCTTTTAAAAATCCTCTCATCTGAATGGCAAAAAAATATATTTTTAAACATTAAGACAGAATTCAGCCCAGAATTCATAGACATGGGTTATTTGCTGCCTATCGGGACCCTCTATTGATTGGTAACTTATTTAAGATTAATAGCCACTAAATCAGTAAACCTTGGGTTCCACTGGAATAGCCAAATACATTAAGGGGCAGAGGGGCTCCATATACTTCCATAAAACACAGCCAAAATACACACTTCACAGTATACAAAATAAACACTTTACAGTATACATGAGGATACAACAACAATTTTCATTTATACAGCGCCCTTCATGTGGGTAGTGTCTTGATGTAATACACCGTTTAAAAACCACACTTTACAGTGCATCCCGGTGAAGCACAATGTAAAGTCCCTCTGATGTGAAAGGCGCTACCTCAAATGTAAGGATCATCATTAAGTTATTATTATCCTACAGTTCCCTCAAAAATCCAAGTCAAGCCAATGACACCGAAGTCGAAAGAGATGGTTTTCTGAACGAGGGCGACATCTCGCAGCGAATGGTTGCAAAAGAACTGAACCCGATACTGAGGTGGTAATAGATCCATTTATTTCAGTTAATCACTGTAACGGGATAACCTTATCAAAGCACTTCTGGCCCACCTTTTCCAATATCTGATATACTATTCAGTAAGGCACACATCATCTCTCCTTCCATGTGGTGAGGGTTAAGCACGTGACCAGGCCTCATCGTTTTCTTCAGTTGGTTCTTTAGCTCCTCAAAGCCCTTGTCTCCAGAGAGGACGGTGAAGGGGATGTGCTTTGGCAGCTGCTCATCCATACGGCCAGCCTGGGGAGAGGGTTACATTGTAAGAGAAGATCCTCCGGGGGATGGGGAGCCTGTGAAGCCAAGCGAGTATGGGGGTGATCGGCTCCACAGAGCTGAACTCGACAGAGGGAGCTACACGTCCAGACTCAAGTCATCCCACAGATTTTACCTTCCCCTCCCCAAATACACACACACACACACAGAACTCCACTCCCCACACACGACATACACACATGTTACAATTAATATACAAAGAGCAAAACCACAAACATGCATGCAGATGGCAAAGTCCGCAGCGTCCTTCCGGTCGCTGCACGGTGGATGCAGGAAGAAGGAGCCAGTGTTGACCAAGTAATTGTAGATTGGGCAGTTTTCTGGCTGTTTCCAGACGGTCTTCCCACCTTTTTAAAAAAGACATTTAAAAAACTTGCTTGAAAATAGCAGTACCAAATTCTTCTAATAATCTTACAAAGGATTAATATCATAATAATACTTGTACTATAGCGCCTTTCCACTTCGTCGAGATGTCTCAAACCCTTCCCAGAATATAATGTAAAGTGGATTGACCGTGTATTTTGTGGGCGAAACGTGGCGAAACAGTCGTGGATTGAGTGACCAAATTATTATTATTTTAGCGAGTGAAGTAGGATGCAGAAGGACAGAAGTGGTGGGGCGTGGGATGGGGGTGGGGAAAGGTCTAGGCTGCTTCATTCCTTAAATGCAACCAGTTCACACCACCTTGGTTAAAGCGGAGCTAAAAGAGGCAATGCCACAGAGATGCGGAATTCAGCACCTGCAGGTCAGAAAGGAACTTGCTGCTCAGGAACTCCAAACGGTTCACTATCAGCTCATACTCAGGGCAGACACCCCAATACACAGCTGCGAGAGCACTCAATCGTCAGAGGGCGGATGAGACATTAAATTGAGGTAAAACCCCCCTGTTTAGGTGTACGTCACAAAATCCAATGGCATGACTCAAAGAGAATGGATTTCTTCCTGTGTTCTGGCCAACAATTCCCCCCAAATAAGCCCAACCATTAATTTCCTGGCTTTTTGTGGGATATCGCTGTGCTCAAATTGGCTGGCCCGTTTGCCTGCAAAATACACAGTCACTACACATCCTGTGAAGCACTTTGCGGCGGCCTCCCAACCTGAAAGGCGCCATGTCAAATGCAAGGATTAGTATAATTATTGTGTTTTAAGAGCCTTGCCTCTCTGCAGATAACAAGCTTAGAGACATTGTTGTCCCTACACGAACCGTACAAATTACAAAAACTAAATAATATATTTAAGACGTCTCAAAGCGCTCCACAGAATATATTGTAAAGTGGATCGACTGTGTATGTTGTGGGTGAAACGCGGAAGATAATTGCACTCAGCAGCGTCCCACAAACAGTTGTGGATTGAGTGATTATTATCATTAATTTTATGAATTTTATATTGGGGGAAGGAATTGTTACCCCAGGAAAGCGATGCACCAATCAATTAACTAGCAACCGGGTTCTTAATTACTGCTAGAGGATACTGATAGAGGATGATTGACCCCAGTTGCTTGCAACTATAAAGCAGTAAATCACAGAGAAAATAAATGGCAAAGGCCCTGGAGGTCAGAGCGCAGTTGAAGTATATCACAGCTCATTACTCTTTGGGCTCCTCAAGCCATTTACTTTGTCACATGAGCCTGCTTTGGACTCAGGCCTCTGCTAACTCCTGCTCCACGTTGCATTTGGGTCAGTGCTCCAAGACTCTACCTCGCATCCAAGAAGCTATATAAATGCAAGCTGTTGTTGGGAAGAGGAGGACAACGGCCTGGGAGATGGGCCAGGGGAGGAATGGGGGTGGGGGGAGCTGGGAAGTAAGATTGCAGGGATAAAGCCGTGGATGGAAGCATTTGAAAACAAGTATGACTATCCTAAAGTTGGTCCGCTAGCTGACAGGGAGTCAGTGGAGGAGGGTGGGGGTGGGGTGAGGGGCTAATGGAACCCGGTGCATGAAAGATGGTAGACTGCCGAGTTCTGGATGATCTGGAACTGAAGGGAGAGCGGGCAAGGCTGGTGAGCGGGCAGGGCAAGGCCAGTCACAACATGTTTGTGGGAAGCTGCTGCGCGCAATTGGCTGCTGCGTTTCGCCCACAAACTATACAGTCAATTCACTCCCGTGTATTCCTTGAAGCGCTTTGAGACATCTCGAAGATGTGATAAGGCGCTAAATCGAATGCAAGGATGATTCGTTTTATCCTCCTGACATTGACCTAATCAACACATCAGACCAACCTTTAAAGCCCCAGAAGAAGGTTCCTTGGTTAAGATGCCCCGGTAAATGTTTGAAGAAGCCGGCCCAGTTGTCCAAATCAATGAAGACGAGATGTGTCATGGTGCGGAGGTAGTCCAGGTCTGGCAGACACAGCTCTTCCTCCATGGCCGTTACACCTTCCTTCTCTAGTGAGAGGGTGATGGTGGGGGGTAAGAGAAGAGAAAAACAAAATAAAACATCATTACCATCGTCACAAATGCAGCGCTCACCCTTGTGATCCACTTACATCTCATCAGCAGCTTTAGCACGACTTGCGAATTGCAAAGTAAAGGCGGAATATCTCAGAATATTCCGAGAAACTCGGACAACTCAAACTGCTACAACTTGGCACGGAAACCGGAACTATCGCAGGAGACTAAGCCTTCTCTCACGTAGCTTTCAGGTCCCCAATGTTGAAATATACTGACTATTACCTCAGGATACATTGGTATATTTCAAACAGCAACCGAATGTTTCAGAAGGTTTGATAGTTAAATGGTTAAAAGTAGCTTTGCTGGACGGGCTGAGGTCAGCTTCTGATTACATTTCAGATTTTCCTGGGAAGATGTTCGCTCCTCTGAGATAATGAGCGATCAGGTCCTTGAGCACAGATGTAAGAACAAAGGACCACAGAAAGAAAAGACAGGAGCCTCAGACACCCGCCTATCTCAAGGCTGCCCAGAAGTTGTCCATATCTTTCTCCTTATCAGGTATCTTCCCATGCAAAAAGAGACTGCTCAAAGATCGCTAGCAGCCTGTGAAGGGTGGGGGCTATCTCTGTGACAAGGGGCGGTGGAGCTAGAAACACATAAAAGATGTAACTTCAAAATAGTTGGAGTCGTGTAGAGGGTCAGAACACTTCCCAGTGGAATCGATATCGATTCTACTGTATCTATGTATATGTACAGGGGTGAGGGAATTTACTTCCAGTAAGAAAGTGACCATTAAAAGGGAAAAAGGAGGACTAGTGGGTAATATTTTTTCGGTTTTGTTTGCTAGGCAAAGAAGTAATAACAGTAAGCAGTGGTCGGTCCGTTTGAAACCCAGAAGTCAGGTTAGACAGTGCGAGTGAGGTACTGGGCTAAGAGCTGATGGTTTCTGGTGGGTTTCCAGGAGCCACTCACTGTGATGCTTTGTTATACTTCTGTGATCTTTTCAGTCCAAGTCAAGGTGTGATCCCAGGTCTACTGTTTGGTCTGGAGTACGAAACAGAGCCTGGATACGTGTTGTCGTCGCTGTATCATCAGTACTATTGTCGCTGTGTATGACTAGTTGGATCCGAGGATTTACTGGACACCAGTCCCTGTTTATAGTGTTTTGTGTTACAGAGTCTGCTGTGTATTTTGAGGTGTGTTTGTCTGGAGTGCTGAGCAGCCCCTGTGTGCATGCTGTGTGGTAAATGTTTTGCTCACAAAAATGTGCTGTGTTGTTATTGTGTTGTTATATGGAGTATTATGTGATTACAGATTGTTAAACCTTACATTTCATCTTATGCAATCAACTCTATACTCTTACCACCGCCTGTCGAATTAATAACACCGAGCCTCTTGCCAACCTATATAATAAATAATAATCATCCTTGCATTTGATATAGCGCTTTTCACGTCTTCTAGACGTCTCAAAGCGCTTCACGGAATAGACTGCAAAATGAATTAACTGTATATTTGTGGGCGAAACCCATGTCTCATACTCTCTGGGATAAGGGAAGCAGGATATGTCCCTCCAGGGAGAGAGTGCGCATTCCATGGAATTGTTAGCTTGGTTTAGATACTCTTAAGCACAGTGATGGGTTTCCGCATGGGTCAGACACCTGGTTGAGCAAAAAAAAACTATTCACTGGACCACAGCAGCCCCTTGGACTGCAGATATAATGGGCAACAAAATTCCTTTTTGTTTGAAATAAAATAATTTATCATTCATTAGGATCAGCAGAAACACTTTTGTTTCAATAAATACTTGCAAGGAGAAAAATTAATGTGCCTTTTTACTCTTTGCTTAAAAAAAGACCAATTCTTTCCGATGAGAGACCTGAACCACAGAAAGCGTCTCAAATTCAAGTCTAAAATTCTGCTTGGGATTTGTTCTTACATTTCTTGTGTTTTTTAATACTTGGGGAAACCTATCACCGTGCGTGCCTAAGAGTACCCAAATCAGAGGTCCACATATGTATGCACTCTCTCCCTCCACGGCCTTACTTCTCCCTTCTCCCCACCTCTGGCTATTGGCGGTCGGGGCCTTCAGCCTCTCTACCCCCACCCTACAATCTCTTTGTCTCACTCCCTCCCTTGCCTCCTTCAACGCCCACCCACCAGTTTTGGGCATGACTCTTTCCTCCTCCCTCTCTCCGCCAAAACACAGATTCTGGCATAAGGTTTTGGCCCAGTGCTCCCTTTCCTTGGGAGTCCTGGAGCTCAGTAGTTAGCGCACTCGCAAGTGAGAGACCTTGGTTCCCGACAGGGTGAAACGTTGAGCAAGTTTCCTTACTCCACACCACTGTTTACCCATACAACAACTTGCGTTCTTCACGCAGGTTAGCGTCCTGGCGAGCTTCACAGTGGCAGAGTCTGACAATGAGCCAAGGGGAAAGGGAGGGGGAGGTGACTGTAAGCACAATCAAAAATAAAGGTCTTTAAGCGGGATTTGAAGTTGTGGAAGGAGGGGGCAAGACAGAGGGATTCAAGGAGTGATTTCCAGAGTTTCGGGGCGTTGTGGCTGAAGGCACAGCCATCGACAGTGGAATGTGAGGCACGAGGGGCAAAGAGGAAGCCAGCCGAGCGGAGGCAGAGAGTGGTGGAGTGGGGGGTAAGCAGGTTGAATCAGTAGGGAGGTGCGAGGGCATGAAGGGATTTGAAAACAAGTGAGAGGATCTTGAGGTCGATCCGTTCAGTGATTGGGAGCCAGTGGAGGATGGTAATGACTGGTGTGATCGGGCGGGTAGGTGTGTGGAGTAAGGAAACTTTTAACCGTTTGCCCTGCCCGGGAATCAAACTTGGGTCCCTCGCTTGCGAGGCAAGGGCGCTAACCACCATGCTTCAGGACTCCATTTAGCAACGCCCGGTTGAAGCTCGTTGGGAGGGTTAATTAACACAGCGGGACTTCAACAAACCACCCGCACTCAACTTCCTAAACTGAACCTACATCCCACTACCTTTTGGCTTTGGTCTCTTGGCAGAACGTTTTGGGGAGCGAGCGGCACTGACCCAGCCGCCGGCCGGGGTCGAGTTACCCTGAGACGTGGACTACCTTCGGTGGCTTTTAACCCCTTGCGGCTGGTGGAAGCCTCGGCTCCGTCTCCCGGGGTCTCCTGGTCGAGCCGGGGGGGTTTCCGCGGGGCGGCGTGCTTGCTGTGGTAGTGCATCTGTGCCGCCTCCTGGTTGATGAAGCTCTTGTGGCAGCTGGCACACTTGATGACGAAGGCCCCTTTGTCGACGAGCGAGGCATCGTGTCTGTCCAGAAGGTGGGCCCTCATGCCCCCCAGCGACTGAGCCGTACTGGGACAGGAGCCGCAGCGGTACCAGAGCCTCCCCGTCTCGAACAGGGTCTTGGCGCACCTGCTCTCGTCCTCCTTCTTCAGCTTCTTGGAGCTGTAGTTGGCCCGGCAGCCACAGGACAGCCGGTGGCCCCCCTGCTCGGGGTCCTTGCCTTCCGCCGCGTCCCTGTGCCGCAAGAACAGGTACTCGGTGCTGTGGAAGGTGTGGTAGTGCCTCAGGAACTCCTGCTCGCAGTCGCACACCACGTCGTCGCACAAGCCGCAGAAGTACTTGACCCTGACCTGCCCTGCGTGCTGCTCCATGCAGTGATGGCAGGCCATCTCCGCCAGGTGGAAGCGCTGCCCACACAACCCGCAGCTGTACCTGTGGAACTGGTGGCTGCCCACCGCCCCGCAGTGCCTGGCCACGCTCTCCTCCGACTCGAACATCTCCCCGCACAGCGCGCACTGCCAGGCGCCCTCCGAGGGGCTGTGCAGGTCGGGCGTGGGGCTGGGGGGGCCAGTCACGGGGGGGCCGGGCTCCAGCCGGACCCCTTCGACCTCCGGCTTGACTCCTGGCGCAGGCTGGGACGGTCCAGAGGGCTCGAAATCCATGGGGCTCTCGCCCCGCTCGCCTTCCTCCTCCTCCTCGCCCGGCCCCTGGATGTAGTAGTAAGTGTGGCCGCTGTGACGCTCGCCGATGTGGGCCATCAGATCCTCTCTGCTCGGCAGCTCGGCCTGGCAGCCGCTGCACCAGAAGTGGAAGCTGGACAGGTGGGCCCCGCCGTGGATGCGGCTCATGTGCAGCCCGATGATGCCGGCCTCCAGCGCCCGCTTCCCGCACACCTGGCACCTGTACCGCACGTCGTTGGCCACCATCACGTGGGTCTCCGCCGTTTTCTCCGACTCGAAGCTCTGCTGGCACTCGCAGCGCCACGTCTGGCTCCCCAATAACCCCTCGCTCTCCCTCCTCTCCTCCTTCACCCGCCGCACCTCGCCGTTCAATTCCAGCCGAATCCTCTTGCTGACCGTGGGCTCGGAGCTGGAGCCGGAGCGCAGAGCCACGAGGGGCCGCTTAAAGGGGCTTTGCTTCTTCCCCTTGGACTGGTCGAGGAGCATGCGCAGGTCGGAGGGGGTCTTGCTGTTCTCGTTGAAGCGGCAGAACTCCAGGATGGCCCGCTCCATGGACTGGATCCACTGGACGCTGTGGCTGGTGGCCTCCGAGTGCTGCCTCACCTGCTCCTCGGACACAAACAGCCGTCCGCAGTCCAGGCAACGGCCGCACACTTTAAAGATGGCCGCCACCTGGCTGATGCTCTTGGCTGCCATAGCAATGGGGCCGGCCTTCCTGCACCGCGTCCTACACAGGAAACACAACGGACGCACACACATGTATGTCAGACACTGTGTATTTTGTGGACGAAATGCGGCAGCCAATTGCACACAGCAGTGTCCCGCAAGCAGTCGTGGATTGAGAGACCAAATTTATTTTTTTAAAAAGGAAATTATTTCCTCCCGCAAAAGCAATTCCCCCCGACACCCCGCCCCGCAATCGGATAACGACTGAGTTCCTATTTACTGCTGGGTAAACAGAGGCGTGTGGAGGGAGAAACCCTGCCCAAGGTTTCGTCAGCCTCATCTTATTTGGGTGCTAGAATCAGACTCGATAGGATTGAGGGGAAGATGGAATTTAAATGAATTAAAAAATTTTTTTTTCAAGTTTTCTAAAGGGAACTGGATACGTACCTGACGAGGAAAAATTTGCAGGGCAATGGGGCAAAAGCAGGGGGAAGTGGGACTAGTTGGTGGCTTTTTTCCCCCCCAAAGAGCCGGCACAGTCATAATGGCCAGAATGACCATTATAATGTGCTGTAAGATTCTATGGTTCTGTGAAATGTTTGCGCGCTGTTGCCACCACAAACCTGAAATGTGCCGTCACTTCCGTGTGGGTGCGTAGCTTCTGCTGACAAGCCGTGCACTTCACCTGGAAGGGAACTTCCTGGCACAAGGACACCAACAGCTTCTTTGCGTAGCCAGGTATCGGAAGTGGACACCGCGTTGCCGGCTCCTCTGCGACGGTCATCGGGAGGGGAAAAGAGAACGAAAAGGATTAAATTTGAGACCCGGCTTTGGCATAAAATAATCAGAATTAAAATAATTACATCTGCTGTAATAATGCTTGCATCTGGTATGCAGCTTTATTACGTCGTCGAGACACCTCAAAAGGCTTGACAGAATATATCGTGAAGTGGACTGACTGTGCATACACCCGCTCCGAGATACCGTCCTGCATGAAGGGCGCTGTAGGCGTGCAAGTTGTTGTTGTGTTTTGTGTGCGATATTGTGCCTTTCACATCGTGAGGATGTTTCGCAGGATTTACTGTAAAGTGTGGACAGAGTGCGGATTTTGTAGCCGATCGCTGTAGCCAATTTGTGGTGAAGCGTTTTGTGGCTTTGACAAACGTCTCTGTGGAAAACGTTCTCAATCTTGCAGAAACGCCTGGAAAGGGCCACAGTGAAACCGCTCGACCTACCTGGCAGGGCGTGGGTTGAAACAAAATGGCTCCTTTTAGCCATATGCTGTAGACATTGGTCCCTCAGGTTAAAGAACAGATAACAGGTGGGACAGGCGTAGCACTGCACAATCTGAGGCTGCAAATCTGGCTGATGCCCCTCAGTATCCTGAGAACTGGCCTACAAAATAAAGAGTTTTTCAGATGAACTGCACAACAACAACTACTTGCACTTATATAGTGCTCCTCATACAGGACACATGCCTGCACGTTCCTCACCAATGTGGCAATACGCAGCGAGCTCACAGCTGGTGTTACCAAATAAATAAATAATCCTTACATTTGATATAGCGCCTTCTCACGTCGTTGAGGCGTCTCAAAGCGCTTTACAGGAGGCACTGTAAAGAGATTTTGACTGTGTATTTTGCTGGCAACAATAGAGAAAACACACACGTATCTATGCACACACGGTGGAATTGCAAGTAGCCTATTTTTGTTCATATATTTATATTATCAATGGTAACACGCTTTAGCTCACCGGAGCCGGTTTATAAATCCACCCCACACACATAGACTTACCTAAGGGAAGGCAAAACAAAAAAAGTGCCAAGATTAAAATGAATAAAATAATGAACCTTTGCAGTTGTTTTAGCACGTTTCACATCAGGAGGATGTGTCAAAAGTGCTTGACACGATTAACTATAAAGCGCAGACTATTTCTTTTATTAAGCGAAGACAAAACATAACACACAGCAATGGCCCACAAACTGGCATGGAATGAATGACCAATTCGATCTGGTGGATTGTTGGCCAGAAGAAACTCCCTTCTCCCTTCGAATAGTGCCACTTGATCTTTAACATCCACCTGATTAGGTAGACGGGGCCTCTTAATGTCTCATTTGAAGGACGATGCAGTATTCCAACAATGCAGTAATCCCCCAGCACTGTATTGGAATATCAGCCTCGATTGTGAGTTCAAAGTCCTGACGTGGGGCCTGAAACCATAACCTCTGACTCAGTGGCAAGAGTTGACTTTGACTGAGCCAGGCTGACATGTCAGGAAGACATCTCAAAGCGCTTCACAGGATTTACTGTAAAGTGTGGTGACTATTTAGCCGCTACACTTTACGGTTAGTGTTTCTGTAACACTAACGCAAGATTTAACAAAATCTAGCAGCCCTGCCCCTGCAGTCCACAGCCAAGGAATAACAGTCAACAGTTAACATTGCCAAAAGTATGAAAACGTGTAAAAAGAAATCGATTGCACCAGTGTGATACTTAACATCCGAATGACATGCTGCACAGAATATTTGTCATACCTTTGAAGACACATGATCTTCATACTGCTTCACGTTTAAGAAGCGCTGGTAACACACCACGCAAATGTATGAGACAGACGGGCACCCATGGAGGGTGATGGTGGGATCGCAGGGAGAATGATCAAACCTGCAAAACAACATAAAAATAAGTGAGTTAACAGTGCACACCGGGTCCCAATGTCAGCCTGGATCAGTCAGTCACACCCTTGCCTTATTGTCATTACATGGAGTCCTGTAACTCAGTGGTTAGACACGTGCCTCACAAGCGAGAGACCTGGGCTTGATTCCCGGCAGGACGAAATGGCAGGGCAAGTTTCCTTACTCCACACACCCCTGTTTACTAAGCAGTAAGTAGGAACCCGGTTGTTAGTGGATTAGCTTTTCGGGGATCATAACTCCTTCAGACTGTTTGTGGGACACTGCTGTGCACAATTGTCTATTGCGTTTTGCCTACAAAATATACAATCAATTCACTTTACAGTATAAGCCAATTGCGCAAGACAGTGTCCCAAAAACGTGGATTGAGTGACCAATTTTTTTTGTTTGTTTTTGTTTGAGGGATAATTATCCCCAGAAAGCGATCCACCAATTGACAAATAATCAGGTTCCTACGCACTGCTAGGCAAACTAACACATGCAAAGTAAGGAAACTTGCCCAAGGTTTTGTCTTGCCCGGGAATCGAACCAGGGACCCGTCGCTTGCGAGGCGAGTGCTGTAACCAATACTCTACAGGACTCCATTAACTCTAAAGATCTCCAAACTGGGCCAGAAGGTTGTGGGCTCAAACCTCACTTTGGGACTTTGACCTCGTCGTCCAGGTTGACATTCCAGTGCAGTGCTGGGAGAAGCACGAGTTCTCAGAAGTGCTGTACTTTGGAAGGCTCAAAGTGCTTCACACAGCTGACTGAGAGCCCAAGACTTGGAGAGGGTGCTGAGGAAGTGGGGGGGTGGGGGGGAAGAAAGAGTAAGTGAAGTGTCCAAAGGAGCAGTCGAAAAGATAAATTCATGAGGTCCCATCGACCAGTTTATGTGGATGTGAAAGCTATTTGAAAGGAGAAGGGGAGTTTCTCCCGTGGTCCTGGCCAACAATCATCCAGTTAATGTGGTCAACAACAACAAGATTCCATTTATAGAGCGCCTTTCACGTCGGGAGGACGTCCCAAGGCGCTGTACAGTTGTGTCAGGAAACGAGCAGGGGGAAATGGTTAGGGTGAGGGGAGGGAAGGGAGGGAGCGAGGAGGGGGGAAATGGTCAGGTGAGGGGAGGGAAGGGAGGGGACAAAGAGTTGAGAGGGGAGCTGAAGGCACGGTCAAAGAGAAAGGTCTTGAGACCGGCCTTGAAGGAGGAAAGGGAGGAAGGAAGGCGAAGGCACTGGGGGATAGAGTTCCAGAACCTCGGGGCTGAGAGGCTGAAGGCCCGGCCACCGATGGTAGGGCGGTTGGGGCGGGGGATGTGGAGCAGACCGGAGCCAGAGGAACGGAGGGTACGGGCAGGTAGGTAGGGGGATAGTAGGTCGGAGAGGTAGGAGGGAGCAAGGCCGTGAATGGCCTTGTAGGTGAGGATGAGGATCTTGAATTCGATCCTCTGGGGGATGGGGAGCCAGTGGAGGCGAGCGAGGGTGGGAGTGATGTGGTCCGAAGCCTGGTGCGGGACAGTACACGAGCTGCAGAGTTCTGAATGACCTGCAGCTTGTGGAGGGAGGTGGCGGGAAGGCCGGCGAGGAGAGAGTTCCCATAGTCCAGCCTTGAGGTGATAAAGGCGTGGACCAGAGTTTCAGCAGCGTGAGGGGTGAGGTAGTGCCGTAGTCTGGCGATGTTCCGGAGGTGATGGAAGGCAGTGCCAGTTGTAGCGCAGATATGAGGAAGAAAGGACAGCTCAGGGTCGAACAAAACGCCGAGGTTCCTGACTGGCTTTGAGAGGTGGAGAGTGCAGCCTTGGATGCTGATGGTGTCAGCGCCTGAGGTGCGGAGGCGCTGACGTGAGCCAATCAGGAGGGCCTCAGTTTTGCGCACGTTGAGCTGAAGAAAGTTGTCTCTCGTCCAGGACTCGATGTCGGACAGGCAGCTGTCAGGACATCGGTGGTCGTGGAGTTGAGGGTAGAGGAGGAAAGGTAGAGTTGGGTGTCATCCGCATACATGTGGAAGTTAACCCCATGTCTGCGGATGATGTCACCAAGGGGGAGCATATAGAGGGTGAAGAGGAGGGGACCGAGGACAGAGCCCTGAGGGACACCGCACGAGACAGTGCGGGGCTGGAGGAAAAGCCGTTTGTGGAAACAAAATGAAGACGGTGGGAGAGGTACGACCTAAACCACTCAAGGACAGGGCCTTGAAGGTTGAGGTGGGAGGACAAGCGGTGGAGGAGGATAGCGTGGTCGACCGTATCGAATGCTGCCGATAGGTCGAGGAGGACGAGGAGGCAGAGGGAGCCCTGGTCACAGATGGTCAGGATGTCATTGGTGACCTTGACCAGGGCAGTTTCTGTGCTATGGGCAGCACGGAAACCCGACTGAAGGGGTTCGAATAGTGAATGGGTGGAGAGGAAAGAGCGCAGCTGGGAGGCGACAACTCTTTCAAGGACCTTGGACAGGAAGGGGAGGTTGGAGATGGGCCGGTAGCTTGATAGCTGCGACGCATCAAGGGAGGGTTTTTTCAAAGTGGGAGTGATGATGGCAGTTTTTAAGGGAATGGGAACAGAGCCAGAGGAGAGGGACAGGTTGATGATGTCTGTGATATGTGGGGCAAGGAGGTGGAGCTGAGAGATAAGGAGTGGAGTGGGGATGGGGTCAAGGGAGCAGGTGGTGGGTTTCAGGGATAGGATGAGTTTGGTGACAGAGGGTGGGGAAACGGGTACGAAGGTGTGTAGGGGAGGATGGGTAGGAGTCGGAGTGTGGGAGGGAGGGGGTGGGGTGGAAGTTGGAGGGGAAGTGACCGCGGAGCGGATTCCCTTGATTTTGGATTCAAGGAAATCCAGCATCTCCTCGCAGTGAAGGTTGGAGGAGATGACCTGCGCGGGGTGGGGGGGACGGAGGAGTCGGGATGTGGTAGAAAACAGTAGCCTGGGGTTGTTCTTCGCCTCCAGGATTATCCTGGAGTAGAAGGACGACTTGGCCGAGGCTAGAGTGGAGCGGTAGATTTTGAGGAGGTCCAGCCAGATTTGTCGGTGGACCGTTAGGCCAGATTTGAGCAGGTGCGTTCAGCGGCCCGCACCTGGCTCTTCAGTGAGCGGAGGTGGGTGGTGAACCAGGGGGAGGAGCGAGAGTAGGAGACAGTACGGGAGGTGATGGGGGCAAGAGTGTCGAGTGTGGAGGAGAGGAGAAGAGGAGTCAGTGAGGGTTGAAGGCCAGAGGGAGAGGAATTCAGAGGACTCCAAGGCAGCGGTTAGGGATTGTGGGGGTAACTTCTTCCAGGGGCGGTAGAAGATGGTGGTGGGTCTGGTGGAGGTGGGGAGGGGGGTGGAGGTGGTGAAGGAGATGAAGTGGTGATCGGAGACGGCCTTGTCGGTAATGGTGACATCCGAGACACTGAGGCCCCGGGTGATCACCAACTCAAGTGGGTGGCCGTGACTTTGAGTGGCGGAGTTGATGTGGAGGGAGAGGTTGAGCGAGGAGAACAGGGAAGAGAAGTCTGAGGAGATGGAGCAGGAGGGGTTGAAGTAATAATAATATTATTACTTGTGCAGGTTGGTCATTCAGATCACAGCTGTCTGTGTGACCAATTGGCTGCTGGAGGCGAGAGAGAGAGAGAGAAAAAAAACAGTCGCAAGTCTTAATTCTTCCGTATCTGTGGTTGCCGAGTGAGACAAGCAACAGGTTCCTCGGTCACCTCGCCACACTGCATTACCTTTCATCGCAGTCAGGGTCAAGAGGAAATGCTCACCTTTTCAAATGACCCAGCAGCAGTTGTTTGTGGTCAAACTGCCGATTGCAGTTCATTACCGGGCAGTCAATGGGATCTACAGTCAATGGCTTCACCGGATGTCTCTTCACAGCCCTGCGATCAAGGTTAAAACAACCAGGCTTCAGTCCTGTTTTGAAAAAGCACATTCACAAAATCAGTTCACATGAACAAGATTAGTTTAGATGAAGAAGGCCATTTGGCCGGCCCATCTGATAATAATAATATTCCTTACATTTGAAATCGTACCTTATCACGTCTTCAAGACGTCTCAAAGCGCTTCACGGAACATACTGTAAAGTGAATCGACTTGTATATTTTGCGGGTGAAACTCGGCAGCCAATTGCGCACAGCAGTGTCCCACAAACAGTCGTGGATTGAGTGACCAAATTATTATCTGATCTTATCTCTCCAGAACACCCACCCTACTCTCCTCCCATCACAGCAATAAGCTGCTTCTTAAACATGTCCTGCCCTCAACTACCTTTCCTGGCAATCTGTTCCAGTTGTTAATTACCCTCTGCATAAAGAAAAAACTTCCTGGTATCAGTCCTGAAATTGCCCTTTGCAACTCTAAACCTATTTTCTTTTGTTCTACTGCCTTGATCCATCCTAAAGTATTGATCTGGGTTCACCGTTTCAATCCCATTTAAAATGTTATACCCCTTCGGAGTTTAAAAGTTCCTTCTAATTAGTCTTCTCTCGAGAATGACTTGAAAAATGAATCGGACAAGGCAACATGAAACTATTTTGCAAATTTAAATAATGCAGATAAATTATACCGAGTCTATCTTATGACGTTAATTCTTCATAAGTTTTTTTTGTCTTTTAGCCCTGCTCAATTAGTAGCAACTTTGCTTCATGGTCAGAAAGTTTTGAATTAAAGACCCACATTGGGACTTGAGTTCAGACAAGGCTGATAATCCAGAACAGTACTGAGGGGGTGGCAGCATTGTTCGAGGTACTGACTTCTCTCACATGAATTCAATGTCACACCCATCTGCCTGTTCAAGGTCTTATGCTAAAGGACCCACAATATTATAAGTTTGTTGGTCATTTGTCCTGTAGCTCAGTGGTTAGAGCACTCGCTTCACAAGCGAGAGGACCTGGGTGCAATTCTCCGGCAGAGCGAAATCATGGGCAAGTTTCCTTACTCCACACGCCTCCGTTTGCCTAGCAGTAGGTTCCCAGTTGTTAGTTGATTGGCAGATCACTTTTCCGGGGATAATAATTCCTCCAAAATAAATAAAAAATAATTTGGTTACTCATTACAATGCAATTGCTGCGTTTTGCCCACAAAATATAGTCAAATCACTTTACAGAATATTCTATGAAGCACTTTGAGACGTCTCGAAGACCTGATAAAGCGCTATATCAAAAAGCAAGGATTTTTATTATTATATTCACCTCACATTTGTTTGTGGGACTTTGCTGTGTACAAAATGCTGCTGCATTTGCCTACACAAAAACACAGCTACTGCCAACAAGTTACTGTGAAACACTTTTTGAGATGTTTTGACGTGAGAAGGGGCTTTAAAAATGCAAATTCTTTTCTCACAACAGTGAAGTTCCCTGTGAAACCGGGAATGTTTGGGTCACTGAAGATCGATGACGTAACATTCAACCCAAACAAACAGCAACAAACTACATTTGTGAAGTACCTTTCACATCGGGAGGACGTCCCAAGGCCCTGGACAGTCATGGATTGGGGCCCGAGCTGGGATTGGGATCAGGAGGGGTAGGAGGGTGACCGAAGGCGCGGTCAAAGAGGGTTTTGAGATGGGCCTTAAAGGAGGGGGTGAGGCGCAGAGACTATGGGACAAAGTTCCAAAGGGTGGAGGCTGAGAGGCTGAAGTCCCAGCCATTGATGGTGAGGCCAGTTGGACAGGGGACATCCCAATGTTGGACGAGAAAGAAAACAAATCTTGGCATATTTTACAGAGTGTCATCATGTTGGAATTCCAAACCGAGAGTTGGAATCCTCCCACCTAGACTCAAAGAGAACTGGACAGCGAGGTTAACAAGGTATACCACACCTGGCACTTTCAACCACCAGTCCACGCATCTTCTCGCTTCCTCCACTGCTGCTGTTTGTCCCTGAATAAATTCCAGCTCCTGTAGGCCATGGGCGTGCTGAGAATCCATCTTCTCCTGCAGGAGCACACAAGGTCCAAAGCTGAGAAACCAAACCCATCCAGCCTGCCCTCACCCACTTCCCAATTCACTTCTGCTGCACAGAAAGAAGGAAGCGCTACAAGGAATAACCTCTGGAGGTCGTGGTCAATTGATAGCACTCCCCTGAGTTAGAAGGTTGTGGGTTCAAGCACATCAGCTTTGCAAGCGAGAGACCTGAGTTCAATTCCAGGCAGGGCGAAACCTTGGGCAAGTTTCCTTACTCCACACGCCTAATAATAATCCCTCCAAAACCAAAAACAATAATAAAATTGGCATTTTCAATCTACGACTGTTTGTGGACATTGCTGTGCGCAATTGGCTGCCGCGTTCGCCCACAAATTTACAGTCAATTCACTTTACAGTGTGTTCTGTGAAGCGCTTTGGGACGTCCTTCCGACGTGAAAAGCGCTATATCAAATGCAAGGATTATTATTATTATTATTATTATCAGGGCTTGTAACTTATAAAGTCTAGGATGTCACTGTGACAGCACTACATCATCGCAGGTGTGCCTTAAACTGAGACAAGTTGTCTACCCGAATGCCTGATCAGTTGGATATTCATGAATTCCACCGCACTATTCACGAAGAGAAAGGAATTTCTCCCAATATTCTGGCCATTAATCCCCCAAATAAAACTAGTATTTCACTTCACGATTGTTTTTTGGACACGTGCGGAAATATTTGCCCACAGATCAGTCACTCCACTTTGCAGTATATCCTGTGAAGGGTTTTGAGGTCTTCCTGGGTGAAAGGCGCCTGTATGAAATGTAAGGATTATTATTATTATTAGGTCCGCTTGATCCATGTAAATATACTAATAATAATCCTATAATAATAATCCTTGTCACGTCTTCGAGACGTCTCAAAGTGCTTCACAGAAAATACTGTAAAGTGTATCAACTGTATATTTTATGGGCAAAAGTATTTTATACTAGCTGTGGATCAGGCCAATTAACAGGTTAGGGTTTCCGTGCTGGATAGCAATCCACATTTTCCCAGGACTGTATCGAGTTACAGGGCCTTTAATAAAGTACAGCCCTGTACAGACACCTTCAGAAAATATTCCCTAGACTTGCAATCAAAAGCAAAGCATCAATTATTGCACATCACATATATGTAACCAACAGAGGCAAAGAAATTTTCAGCACAGAAGCCATTCAGCCCATCGTGTCTGTGCTGATCCTTTTAAGAACAATCTTTTCAGCCCCATTTACCGCGCTTTCCCAATACTCCTGTATCTTACTCCTTTTTAAGAAGTTTATCAAGCTCCCAAAATATACAGTTTTATGCACATTGCATCCCCAAATAAAACAACCCATAGGCAAAGTGATATATAAAACATCATACGTTTTACTATTCCCAGGATTAAGAGGAAGAGGGGAAAAGAAGGTTGTGCATTCAACTCCCATTTTGGCTCTTGAGCTCACAGTCCAGGTTGATGCTCCCCAAAACAATTTCATTGATACTGTGCCTTTCGCGTTGGAAGAACGCCTCAAATCGTTTCACAGTTAAATGTGACCCCAGACTGGGGAAGGTGGGGGTGGGGGGGGAAAAAAAATGTGTGGAGGGGAGAGGTAAATCTCTGGAACAGGACCCCTAGCGACACGGTGAATCAGAAAGTGTTGATTCTTTCAAATGCAAATTTCTTTCAGGAAATAATATTTTGGGATACAGCATTCGAGTAGTTCAGAACATGATATGTGCTCACGACTGCCAGGATGGTGGAAGGTGAACTGGATCGACTGAAGTAATGCATTATTGAAATGAGAGGTTCACTGAGGTCCTCTCTGCCTACTCTTCAGGTGGATGACAAATATCCCATAACACTGTTCGAAGAGAAGGGAATTTTGTTGTTGTTGTCCCCCCACCCCCCCATTCTGACCAACAATCTTCCAGGTTAACTTGGAGTCCCTTAGAGTCCTACAGTTCAGTGGTTAGAGGCCTCGCCTTGCAAGCAAGAGACCCGAGATCTATTCCCGGAAAGTTTTCTTATACCACACACCTCGGTTTACCAAGCAGTAAGTAGGAACTCGGTTGTTAGTCGATTGGTGGATCGCTTCTCCGGGGGTAATAATTCCTTAAACAAAATAATAATTTGGTCACTCAATCCACGGCTATTTGTGGGACACTGCTGTGCGCAATTGGCTGCTGCATTCCACCCACAAAATATACGGTCAATTCAGTTTACAGTATATTCTGTGAAGCGCTTTGAGACTCCTGAAGACGTGATAAGGCGCTATATCAAATGCAAAGATTATTCAAATGCAAGGAATATTCACATAATGACTGCTTGAGGGGCATTGCTTTGTGCAACGTAGCCTGCTGCATTTGCCTACAGAAAAAAAAGTCACTAAATAACCACAACAACTGTGGAGAACTATGAGATATTGACGTGATAAAGTGCCATTACTTTCAACTGATGTTTGCAAACCTAATAAGATTTTATTAGCCTGACAAACTAAGATATAGAAATCTGAAATATGAGCAATTTAACATCTGAGATACTAGTTTCAGAAATTGGAGACCCAGCAGATTGCTTAGTTGTCAAAGTTCTTCTTTGTGCAAACGCACAGTGCAATACACAGGTCACATCAAATAGGTACAAAACCGCTCTTTGCACAGGAGAGGCCACTGTCAACACAGTAAACCTCACACAAGTCGTAGCAGTTGGGACTGTACATTTAATGACTTATGCAAAGTATGAGTTACGCCAAACTATAAACTCTTGAACAGGACTCAGGCAGATGTACGAATTAGGCAAATATATGATTTTTTACAACAAATTACATTTGTATTGCGACTTTTACGTCGGAAGAATGTCCCAAGGTCCTGGACAGTCAAGAATTTATACCTGAGCAGGGGGTTGGGATCAGGAGGGTGGATGGCTGATATATGATGCATCAGCAAGCTATTTTAAGGGGTTGCTCAGACACACAGAGCAGAAGGGTCAAGGTTCCATCCCCAGTCTGTGCTGAATTAGTGAATGTCAGGCGAGAGAGCAATGGCATTGCTACGAGGGTGGGTAGGAAAAATTTAAGCTTTTTAAAAAAGAAAACAAACTTCATTGGATTTAGGAAGAGGAAATATTAGCTATATATATATGTATATAAACACAAATATATATACACACCCACACACACACTTATACAATTGCACACAGCATGTCCCACAAACAGTCGTAGATTGACTGACCAAATTTTTTTTATATATTACATACTGCTAGGTCTGAAATACTGTACACTGTCCAGCACCTTGGGACGTCCTCCCGACGTGAAAGGCGCTATACAAATGTAATCTTGTTGTCGTTGTAGTAGGTCAACACGGGTGTGTGGAGCAAGGAAACCCGCCCAACTTTTCTCCCTGCCCGTGAATCGAACCCAGGACCTTTGCTTGTGAGGCAAGTGCCCTAACCACTAAGTTATAGGACTCCACAAAAGTACTGTATTTTGCACTAAGGCAACCCATGATCTTTACCTCTTTACCCCTGGCATGATGGCTGCTCCCCATAAGGATTATTAAATGGTCGGATTTGCTGTTCCAACCCAATAAAAAACACTCCAGCTTGCTTATCATTTTACAAAGGACAGCCACGTTGTCAATGTAGCCAGGCAACCAGCAAACCTCACCAATAATCAGTTACCTATGTCTACACAATGAGAGAACGGGGATCAGGCAAATAAAATAATCTGGCAATTTAAAACTGCGATTGCCCCACCACATGAGAAAACTGACCTTTAACCATCAAATGATCCACTGAAAAAGGCTGGAGGTTATTTGTGCAAGAATAATCCTGACTTATAGGCAGTGAAATTTAAGTGTTTATTATATGTATTATAAACACTTATTATTTACAGTTTACACACTAATGTAACCTATATATGTGTGTGTACTAAACATCCTAAGGTTTTTCAATGTTTGAACTGGTTTTAATTTGAAAACTACAAAGATGCTCAACAGGAAAAAAAAACACTTTGCAAATGAATTTCAGTTTGAATGGGGCAGACGGAACCTCGGTTATCCTATCCGAAAGACGGCACCTCCTGCAATGGACACCCTGCCAGCACTGTATTGGAGCGTCATCTTAGATGATGTGAGTTCAAGTCCCGAGTTGGGGCTTTGTACCCACAACCTGCTGACTCAGAGTTGAGACCTACCACTGAGCCAAGGCTAAGTCTGCCTTTGCTTTACCAAACTACTTGATTAAGGGTGGAAGTTACCTGAAAAGCTTTGCACTTCTCTTCCTTCAGCTGCTTCTCTACCTCCACGTGTCGGGCCAGTCGATCCAATGTCGATATCACCCTTCTTTTTTGCCAATCAATGTGATCTTTTGTCTTCTGCTTGGGCTGTAAGCATCACGCATGGAACAAGATTAGAAAGATCACAACAACAACTTGTGTTTATGTATCTTCTATGTTTGTAAAACAATGTCTGTCTGCGTTTCAAGAAAGATCACCAATTGACGGAGAGACATGATTTATACCTCATCAGAAAGGTCTTGCATCTAGGAGTGACATGGACATATTTGTTTTCGGGTATCTCCTAACGTTCATGGGTTATGACCTAAAATGTATTTCAGTTTTGCATTTTTCGCTGCAGTTATACCTAGTGGCCACCGGCTAGTTGACAGTGGGGCTGCGGCATCGTGCATCACAGAGAACCTAAGTATGTACGTACGCATTGCAGTTACACCTGGTGGCCGCCCTGGCTGACCGTGGCGCTGTGGCATCCTGTGTTACAGAGCACGCACGAAGCCAAGCGGCGACGGGAACAAAATAAAGAACACAGACGAAGCTAAGCCGCAGCAACAACTTTACATTTTTAAGCGACTTTCGTGGTGGGAGGACGTCTCAGTGATTACAAATTGTACATTTATATTTATCATTATAAAGATGTCCAAGCGAAAATCAAACCTAAGGGTAAGTAAAAATGCTAGTCAAAAGCCCATTAAATGAAACTGAAGAACAAAGAACAGCGCGGCTGCACTTCAATGCTGAAAGGACTGCAACAGTGCGCCAAAATGAGTTGCCCACTCAAAGAACAGCACGGTTGAACTTAGACGCAGAAAGGCATACAAGAACACGGGAAAATGCAGCAGAGGTCACTCCATTTACCTGCGCGCAACTGTGATCCAGGCAGAGACTACAAATCAGAAGGCACCCAACATACTGGAAAAATGTCAAATATATGGAGCACCGTGGAGCCATGAAATGGGCAAAAGAAGTTTATTCCATGTGTTGCTCGCTTGGAAAGGTGAAACCAGAGCGACCCACAGAGCCACCTGAACCCCTGAAAAGTCTGAGTGGCATATGACTGATTATAAACATTTTCTAGCAAATCTTAGGAAATACAATTTGTGCTTCCTGCGGACCTCTTTTGGTGCAACTAGAGAAATTAAAGAGGCAGGTTACATGCTAACATTTGAAGTGCAAGACCAAGTGTATCACTTATCGGGATCTCTAAACGTTTTACCTAATGAGTCACCAAAATTCTTACAGATCTACTTCATGATGAACCGAGAAGCACAAACCATGCAGCGTAGAAGCGATGTTCTGGGGTTGAACAAAACTCATATTAGATCTGCAAGACATGCTTCGCAACAGAAACACATACGTCAGGAGCTTCAAGTACGCAATGGAAAGAAGGACTGCAGAAGAATATAGAATCCATGCAGACAAGACACCTGCTGGCCAGCATGAGAGAAGGTACAGTACAATCCACCAACTACTGACGAAGTCGCCATCCTGATTATAGGTGAAGAACATGGTAAGCGGGACATTGAGGTGGTGGATTCCACGCAGTACTGACACACAACAGACAGGAGGTGGAATTGGACAACCGTTGGGTTTTCCCATACAATCCCCATTTCTCTCGGCTCTTCAATGCTCACATCAATGTTGAGTTTTGCAACACTGTTAAGAGCATCAAATGTGTGCAAATATGTGAACAAAGTTTGGGACATGGCTATGTTTGGTCCCGAGAGGGAGGAAGGCCGAAGATACGAGGTAATATACTACCAGATAGGCCGATATGTGAGCACCATTGAAGCAATCTGGAGAATTTTTGGCTTCCACATACATGTTCGACATCCAGTGGTCCAACACCTTCAGGTTCACTTTGAAAACGGCCAAAGGATGTGTTTTTTTATTAACAGAAGTAAATATTTGGGAACATTCACTTGAACCTCCCAAAACCATGCTAACTGTATTCTTCCAATTATGCCAACAGGACAAGTTTGCAAAAATCCTTCTCTACTGTGAGGTCCCAAAGTATTTCACACGGAACAACCAGACCAAGAAGTGAAAACGAAGAGGTCGAGGTACTCATGTTAAACGCTATCCCTGTGTCAAGTCCAGTGAACTGCTCGGCAGAGTGTACACGGTGCATCCAAACAACTTCCTAAGGCTTTTGCTACCCACTGTGAGAGACCCAACAAGCTATAAGGATCTTACCACCGTTGATGGTGAAGTCTGCGATACGTTCCAAGAAGCATGCCACCACAGGGGTTTCTTAGAAGACGATGCCCGCTGGAACCAGACATTAGAAGAAGCAGCCATGGCACGATTTACTATCAGACTGAGGGATTTGTTTGCCATCATGTTACACACCTGCGGTCTGTCTAATCCAACACAGCTGTGGGATAACCACAAAGAAAGCATGTCAGAAGACGTTTTCCATCAGCTACGCTGTGCAAATCCACAAACTGAGGTGGACTACAGTGGTGCCCAGGCCCTCACACACTAAGAAGGCAAGTAATGGCATTGGGGGGAAAAGGCATTGCAACACTATGGTCTGCCCTGTACTCACAGAACAGAAGATGTCACTTTGGCCAGAGAAATTTGCCAGGAACTGAACTATAACCAAGATGAAATGCAGCACTTTATCCAGTAGAGAGAATCAACCACGACAGAAGATCAAGCTGCAGGGTATCACAGTATCCTTCACAAAGTGTACCACAATGCAGGAGGCATTATCTTTCTTGATGCACCTGGGTACAGGAAAAACATACCTCATCTTGACCAACATTCGGTCCAGGGGCCAAATTGCACTTGCTGTTGCGTCCTCTGATACTGCAGCAACTCTACTTACAGGTGGCAGAATAGCCCATTCTGCCTTCAAGCTGCCACTGAACCTTTCTCATACAGAGGATGCAGTGTGCAATATCAAGAAGGGTACAGCTACAACCACATTGATCAAAGACTGTAAAACCATCGTGTGGGATGAATGTACAAGCCTGAACAGGACACTTCACCCCGATGATGAGAGGGATAACACTTATTTTGTCACGAGACTTCCGCCAGACACTACCTCTCATACAACGTGGTACCCGTGCTGATGAACTCGATGCCAGTCTTAAGGCTTCCAGGCTGTGGGCGTGTGAGGAGAAGATGAGCCTCAGAAAAACATGCAAGTCCATCTTCATGGCAGTTCTGCAGCTGTGGCATGTGCCGACCTCCTTCTGCTCTGGAAATTGGGGATAGCAAAATTCCAGTGGATCCAACAGATGGACAAATTCAGATTCCCGCAAGGTTGTGGGATCATTGTACAAGATATAGCAGAGCTCAAAAACAAAATTTTCTCGAACCACAGCCAGAACTACACAAATCAGAAGTGGTTGTATCAACGGGCAATCCTTGCTCCAAAAAAACTAGTCAATTCCCAGCTACTCAATGACTTCCCTGGCCAAGAAACTGTGTGCAAGTCCATAGATACTGTTCCTGACATTGAAAATACTGTCCACTATCCAACTGAGTTTTTAAACTCTTTAGAACCATCCGGTATGCCTCCATACAAACTCATACTAAGCTTTGATGCATAATCATGCTGCTGAGGAATCTAAATGCTCCGAAGCTATGCAATGGCACAAGGCTGTAGTAAAGCAGTTGATGCCACATGTTACAGAAGCAGCTATTCTGACTGATCTGTTCAAGGGGAATATATTAATTCCTCACATCCCACTGCTCCCAAGTGACTACCCGTTTGAGTTCAAAAGGCTCCAATCCCTGTTCAAATATGTTTTGCCATGTCAATTAACAAGTCACAGGGGCAGAGCTTAAAGGTTGCTGGTCTTTTCTTGAATATACCCTGCTTTTCCCCATGGACAGTTCTATGTCGGATGCTCACGTGCGGGTTCATCTCAAAACCTACATCATGGCCGTAGGAGATAAAACTGCAAATGTCATCTACATGGAAGCACTGCAATAACTCGAGGACCAGCTGCATCACACAATAAACCCCTTCGGTTAGCGTAGCTTTGACATGAGGCTTCGCCACAGGAGGCTGGATAAAGATGAAATGTTTGTCTGTATGTCAATCTACATTCCATTTTGGATCCTTTGGGTGCAAGCGTAGCTGCAACGGGTATAGCTAGTGTGTGTGTGTACATATATATACACACACAGACACAGCATTCAAGTAGGATAACATCACAGCGCTTCACAAGGACAGGAAAAATATCACTGCAGCAAAACAGCTCACCGAGTTTCACATGATTTACTGGAGAAGTAGTGACTGCGTATTTCTGTGGATGAACACGGCAGCTAATTTGGGCACAGCAATATATCTGCGAACAGCCGTGAATGAATTACCAATTTATTTATAAAATCTTGGCACATCTTTTAATGCCAGTGTTCTATCCTTTCCATCTCTTTTTTAAACATCTCCATTGATTTTGCATCCACAGCTTTTTAGGACAGAGCATTGCACATGTCATGTTCTAAACTATGCCCTGTATCACGAGGTGTTATTTCCTCACAGAAATCTACCTAATTTGAAAGACTCAACACTTTCTGCTACCAACCCTCTATGTGAAGAAATTCTTCCTTAAAATCAGTCCTGAGTGCTTTAAAAATAATAATAATTTTGGTTATTAATAATAATAATACTGTTGTGCTCAATTGACTGTTGCGTTTCGCCCACAAAGTATACAATCAATTCACTTTACAGTAAATTCTGTGAAGCGCTTTGAGACGTCTTGAAGATGTGATAAGGCTCTATATCAAATGCAAGGATTATTATTATTCTCTGCAACCTCCTAACCCTACTAACCTGCCCGCACCCTCCACCTAGCAGCCTGCTTCAAGTCCCCCGCCTCGCCCACCCCACCCCGCAGTTCCTCCATCTCGCCCCCTCCCTTGCTTCATTCAAGGCCTGTCTCAAGGCCTTCCTCTTCGACCGTGCCTCCGGTCACCCTGCTTCCCCACTGCCCCCTCCCCGATCCCGATCCCCACCTCAAGTCCGAAATATTGGTTGCCCAGGGCCTTGGGACGTCCTCCAGACATGAAAGGCGCTGTATAAATGTAATTTTGTTGTTGTTGTAATTATTATTATAACTCTGACTTTAAGTTAATGCACCTTTGTGATCCCTCTACCAGATAGAGCAGTCGTCCACTATCTAACCTGCCAATTGCATTCATTTTTTTTCTTGCCTCAATTAAAATCAACGCTAAGCCACCTTTGCTCTAAGGAATATAACCTCAGCCTCTGCTATTTCAACCAACAGAGTGAATGGCATGCAAATCTCATGACCTTGCATTTCCTCATTATTTAGGCTGGTCTGTTCAGCAGATCAAGATGACAAAAAAAATAATCCTCACATTTAATTTAGTGCTTTTCATGACGGCTGAAAGTCCTTCACTGAATTTACTGTAAAGTGTATTGACTGTATTTTCTAGATGAATGTGGCTGCCAATTGCACACAGCAACATCCCACAAACAACCGTGAAGCAAAACAACCAATTTTATTTGGGTGGGGGGTTGAGGTGGGAAAGAGGATTGTCGGCTAGGACACAGGGAGAAACTCCCTTCTCCTTTTGAGCCAAAACCAGTATTTCTTTTCTTATTTCATTTTAAAACAAAATTTTGTTTTGATATAAAGCGTTAAGACAATATTACAAGGTGCGTTGAAGGATACACGAGCGAGAATATACGGGAGTGAAATCTTGTAGGGAAAATTATAGCAGCTCTTTCCTCGTGCGCTTTAATCTGCATCTGGCAATGGGTTAACAACTTCAGCTGTTGAGCTCGCAGGCTGGAATTTGTCAGTGTAATCCGGTCGGGGCTTTTCATATTCCAAACGAGCAAGATTGCTACGCCAGTGCCAGAGTTGAGCTGTGACCAACTGCAGTACATATGTGAAAGAGCAATGATAACAACATCTGTTAGGAGCTCTTACAACGTAATCCCCTATGTAACAAGTGCTGCATTGAACTCTTGCTTTCGACTGCGTTTCTTCTCACTGGCCACAGGGGGGAGGGGGAAGAGAACATTGGGAATGGAAAGGAGGACGGAATTATAGGTTAACACTGAGAAGAATATACTGTAAAGTGTAGTGACTGTGTGTTTCGCCCACAGAGTACACAGTCACTACACTTTACAGTATATTCTGTGAAGTGCTTTGAGATGTTTCAACGACTTGATGTGGTGCTATATCAAAATGCAAGGATTATAATTATTAATCAGTGGCTCATAGTTTGTTTATTACAATGACTTTTACTGCAGACCTGCTCAGGAGCAGAGAGCATGAATCAAAGACAAGACTACCATTCCCTTACCTCCCAGGACGGTACCTACCGATTCAAAAGCAAAATGCATGTAAAATACTTGCATTTCCAGTTACCAATAGCACAATTTATTTCCGCTTTCAATTGCCATTTTCAGAGCTCCTTGATGAGGAAAAAGCTGAGTGTGGGAGTGTCTGCCTGTCAGTTTACCTTGGCACAATTCACTCTACAACCCCGATAAAACTGGACATCTCGCCTTAGCCTAACTGCTCTAGATGTTAATTCGGGCACCAATGGTTGAGGCCGATTTACATTGACTAATACAGAAGGGATAGGGATTCTTGTCACTCAGCTCCCCTGTTAACCCTACAAAGGTAAAGCCCTAATGGGTAGGGTGGTCAGTTTTGCCTGGACAAGCAGTGGGAAGCTTGTGAGACAGTGCTAACAATAACGTGTGTCAGCCTGGCATAATGGTAGCGCTCACTCCACTGAGTCAGAAGGTTGTGGGTATAAGCCCCACGTCAGGACTTGGAATCACATAATCTAAGCTGACAATCCAATACAGTGATTGGGGGGGGGTTTGCATCGTCGTGAGGCGCCGTCCTTCAGATGAGACATTAAACCAAGGTCACATCTGACTGTTCAGGTGGATATTAAAGGATGCCACGGCATTATTCAAACAGCAAAGGGAGTATCTCCCGGTGTCCCAGCCAACAATCCCCCAAATAAAACTGGTCACTCACTCCATGGCTGTTCGTGAGACATTGCTGTGGGCAAATTGGTTGTCTTATTTCTCCCGCACAACACAATTGTTTACAGTATATCCAGAACTTTACAGTATACCTTGCAAAGTATACAGTATATCCAGAACTTAACAATATATCCTGCGAAGTACATAGTAGATCCAGAACTTTACAGTAAGTATATCCTGTGAAGCTCTTTGAGACAAAGTGATATGCCACTATATCAAATGCAAGGATTAAGGGCGAGGTGAAATCTGAGATCAACAGATATTGCAGTTCAGCAAACTACTGACCTGACTCAGTTGTTTGTCGCTCCCCTCAGTGTCTTCGTCACTTGACAGATCAATGTAGTCCAAAATAGGTCTTATTGGCTGCTCCTTTTACACCCGTGGCCCCATGGAAAAAACAAAGTCAAAAAGTTAATACATTAATTACCCAACAACAACAACATGGGTGTCACTCGCATGTGGAAGTTAGCCCCATGTCTTCGGATGACGTCACCAGGACACATATAGAACAGATAAGATCTTTTCAAAATTATTCAACCACAAGTTGCAATTGCTACAATGACACAGGGGTAGGCCATTCAGCCCCTCAAGCCTGTTCCGCCTTCTATAAGATCATGGCTGATCTGTACCTCAACTCCAATTATCCGCCCTTGCCCAATATGCCTTGATACCCTGACCTAACAAATATCTATCCACCACAGTCTCGAAAATGTGAATGGATGTATCATGAGCACCAAATACAAATAGTATGAGCATCAAATCCATTCCAGTATTCAATTCACAGGTGTACTGGACAAGTCTAAGAGCTGGAGGCAAAAGGGATCTAAAGGCTCGTCGTCGTCCCCCACCCACCTCGTCTCCACACAAGGAGAAGAACTCCAAGGTTTTATTTATTCCACTGGGTGACCTCTTAAACTGGATTGTCTAAAAAGTATTCACATTGGGACAGACTGCAGTTGGCAATGAACTTGCCGACAATAGAGCTGTTGATTACCACAACAACAGATTATATTTGTTTTGCACCTTTCAAGTCGGGAGGAAGTCCTCAGGCGCTGGACAGTCAGGGGTTTCCATCCGAGCTGAGGACAGTCAGCCCTCGACTTGATTTCAAGGTCTCATCATCCGAAGGAAGGCCAGGACGGACAGGTATTGGTTTGGGTGGAAAACCCACACAATCAGAATACTTACACTCACAAACACCACCTCTTCTTCACTCTCTCGCTTCTCCACTGGTAGCGGTCCATCGCTAGACGACATGATGATAGAAGATGGAATCTGCATGTAAACAACATAACACAACAGAAAGCAATCAGGGTCAAGTTGAGTCAAAAGCCTTGGCGAGTTATCTAAACGATTTCATAATGATGCCTTTCCATTCAAGACCGCAGGTAAAGTCTTTCCAACACCAAATTACATTGTAAAGCACCTTTCCAAGGAACAATAGAAACAATGAAAAATGGAACTCTTCCTGTAAGATGAGCAGTAAAAAATATGGAGAAAGAAGGAAAAAGTGGAGATAGAGACGGCTCAGACACAATGGGTCGATTGCTCTGTCTGCACCGAAAATTTCTGTAGGATTCCCAAAGGTGATGCCATTGACAACAGCAGTTCAACAGCAATGTACATTTATGTAGTGCCTTTCATATGGGGAGAACGTCTCAAAAATGTTACACTGTTGTAAACTGAAATCTAATATTTTAATAATGATCATCCTTGCATTGGATATAACACCTTATCATGTCGTTGGGACGTCTCAAAGCGCTTCACAGAATATATTGTATTGTGGATTGACCGTGTATTTTGTGGGAAAAACACAGCAGCCAATTGCGCACAATAGTGTCGCACAAACAATTTGTTTTGGATGGATCATTACCCCCCGGAAAGCTATCTGCCACTTGACCAACGACCGGATTCCTTCTTACTTCTAGGTAAACAGGGGTACATGGAGTAAAGAAACTTGCCTAAAGTTTCACCTGGCCCGGGAATCTAACCCGGGTCCTCTCGCTTGAGAGGCGAGCGCAGTAACCAATATGCTAAAGGACTCCACAATTTAAGGCAGTACGTTGATTTTCCTTCTGTTTTCTCTCTAGCTCTTTCATCATGGCCTCCGTGTGCCTCAGACCCAGCACCCATAGGGCAAATACCAAATCACAACAGGCCTTTGCCAAAACACTCAGCTGTCAACAAATAAGATACAGCTCCCTAATTCTCTTCCAGCTGTGTCTAGCCTCAACATGGCACCTCTTTCCAGGAAAATTAATTAACGATGAGGAAGACTGCGGAGCTCGGGGGGAGGGTGTGGCAGGGTGTGTGTAAGGCGCGGGGTGGGGGGAGGGAAAGACACACAACTCCTTCCGCACTTCAGAACACTGTTGCCAAACTGGACCGCCTCTCACAAACCAACATGGATTTTTTTTTAAAAACCACAATTAACAACCATTTATAATGATATATAATAATCCTTGCATTTGATACAGCACGTTATCACATCATTGAGACGACTCAAAGCTCTTCACAGAATAGACTGTAAAGTGAACTGACTCTATGGAGTCCTGTAGCTTTGTGGTTAGAGCACTCGCTTTACAAGCGAGAGACCTGAGTTCAATTCCAGGCAGAGGGCGAAACCTTGGGCAAGTTTCCTTACTCCACACAGAGCCTAATAATAATCCCTCCAAAACAAAATAATAATAAATTGGTCATTTTCAATCTACGACTGTTTGTGGGACATTGCTGTGCGCAATTGGCTGCCGCGTTCGCCCACAAATATACAGTCAATTCACTTTACAGTGTGTTCTGTGAAGCGCTTTGGGACGTCCTCCCGACGTGAAAAGCGCTATATCAAATGCAAGGATTATTATTATTATTATTATATTTTGTGGGCGAAACGCAGCCGCCAATTGCACACAGCAGTGACCCAAAAAGTCAGGAATTGCGTGAACAATTTTTCTTGAGGGATTGATAACGGCAGAATTCGATCAGCCACTCGACTAACAACCAGGTTCCAATTTACTGCTACGTATAGGTGTGCGGAGTAAGGAATCTTGCCTACGGTTTTGGTCCGCCTGGGAATCGAACCAGGATCCTCTCACATACAAGACGAGCGCGCTAACTACTATGCTACAGGACTGCACAGGAGCAAGAAAGTATGATCAGAACAATACTTTCTCACCCCCAGTGTTACCTTGAATAATCTGTCACCCTATCCTCGTGTCATCATCAATAATCTGTGACCCCCACCCTCACCGCCCCCGTATCACCATGAATAGTTCCTAGGCCAGGTAGAGAACAGTTAGCTGTAAAGTAAAAATTCGTATCACTTCTGTCATCGGGTTTCCGTGCCGGCCAAGGCAAAGAAACAGCTTTGGTCCAAGTGAAAACTGACATTTGGTCCATCTGCAATCAGGGCTCTCTCTCTGCCTCTTCGTTCTCCTTGACCTCTCTGCTGCCTTCAATACCGTCGACCACTCTATCCTCCCCCACCAATCTCCTCTCACCTCAATCTTATAATAATAATAATCCCTGCATTTGATATAGAGCTTTTCACGTCTTCGAAATGTCTCAAAGCGCTTCACAGAGTACACTGTAAAAGTGAATGGACTGTATATTTGTGGGCGAAACGCGGCAGCCAATTGTGCACAGCTGTGGATCGAGCGACCAAATTATTATTTTTTTAAAGGATTATTATCCCCAGAAAAGCGATCCGCCAATCAACTAACAACCGTGTTCCTACTTACTGCTAGTAAACCGAGGCGTGCGGAGTAAAGAAACATTTCGCCCTGCCGGGAATAGTACCCAGATATCTCACTTGCGAGGCGAGTGCTCTAACCACCGAACTACAGGACTAAATATCTGGAATGTTAACAGTATCAGGTCTTTCAGTTAGATAAGAGCGGAGCGGTATGGAGGCACTCACTTTTGATTTTAATGCTTTGTACCTTGACAAGTCCATATAATGAAGGATAATTGGAAACAATGATATTAAACAATTTTTGGAAGTGTTCCACATCACTTTTGTTTTCAAACCCAAATTGGCACCAAATGCCCATTCTGGCAAATCAGATTTCTGTGTGGCCTGCACAGTGCATAGCGAGGATAAACAGTCAACCTTTAAATCCCCCTATTCAATTTCCTCCATGCTTTTCTGTGGTACTGTCCATATAATCCATAATTTACAATTTAAAATACTATTTTTCCAAACCCCACTGCTCTATTGAACAAACACACACACACACAGTCACACAACAACAACAGGATTACATCTCGGGAGGACATCCCAAGGTACGTTGAAACACACACACACACACACACACACACGCACAGAGTCAGTCACACACGCACACAGAGTCAGTCACACACACACTTCATTTTGTGCATTTGGGAGCCTTGCCTCTCCTCGTTTCTGAACAGTCTGGCACCCTTCAGGGTATTTGGTGCTGGTTCAAGTGTGCAAGATGATGGTTGTGGAGCTCAGGTTAGTGACTGACAGCTACTGTCCTTGGTCCCCTCCTCTTCAATACCTATATGCTCCCTCTTGGTGACATCATCCGCAGACATGGGGTCAACTTCCACATGTATGCGGATGACACCCAACTCGTATCTCTCTGCCTCCACCCTCGACTCCAGGACCACTGCTGTCCTGAGAGAATGGCTGTCAGACATCAAGTCTTGGATGAGAGCTAACTTTCTACAGTTGAACGTCAACAAGACCAAAGCTCTCCTGATCGGCTCCCGTCAGCGCCTCCATCCATGGACGCACACTCCACCTTGCTAAGCCAGTCTGGAACCTTGGCGTCTTGTTCGACCCTCAACTGTCTTTTCTATCCCACATCTGCGCTAAGACCCGCTCTGCCTTCCCCCACCTCCGCAATTTTGCCCGACTCCGCCACTGCCCCAACCCTCAAGCCGCCGAAACCCTCATCCACGCGTTCATCACATCTTGGCTCGACTACACCAACTCCCTGCTTGTCGGCCTCCCCAACTCTTCCCTCCACAAGCCGCAGATTATCCAGAATTCTGCAGCTCGTGTCCTCTCCTGCACCAGGCTCCGTGGCCCCATCACACCCACCCTCGCCCAGCTCCAGTGGCTCTCCATCCCTCAGAGGATAGAGTTCAAAATCCTCATCCTCACCTTCAAGGCCCTCCATGGCCTTGCCTCTCACTACCTCTGCCACCTGCTGACCCCATATCAATCTGTCCGCTCCCTCCGCTCAGCAGCCTGTTCCACGTCCCACGCCCGGCCCATTCCACCTTCGGCGGTCGGGCCTTGAGCCTTTCTGCCCCCACCCTACGGAAGTGTATCCCACATTCCCTTCGCCTTGCTCCCTCCTTTCCTTCAAGACGTGTCTCGGCCACTCTCCCACCCTCCCCTATCCCGACCCCCAGCTCAAGTCCAAATCCCTGACTGTCCAGCGCCTTGGGATGTCCTCCCAATGTGAAAGGCGCTATACAAATGTAATTTGCATTGAATTGTCATCAAAACAGATCTGAACTCCAACCTCAGAATGCTAAATCTGCTGCTATTTGCCACAACTGTGCACCCGATGCTCTCTCGAAGAGACAGACTAAATAAGTGAGGGCAAGAGGTTTCCTATTACTGGCCCATTTTACTATTACTTTACCTGAGCACTGGCCTGAGTGAACCTGCCCCAAACTCACTTCATATCAAATCTGTGTAACAATAATAATCCTTGGAATTTTAATGCAGTGCTTTATATTGTTGAGATGTCTCAACATCAACAAAAATTACGTTTGTATAGTGCCTTTCACGTCGGGAGGACGTCCCAAGGCGCTGGACCATCAATGTTTCGGACCTGAGCTGGAGGTCGGGATCGGGGAAGGTGGAGGGCAGGGTCGGGGGGAGGAAGGAGGGTGATCGAAGGCATGGTCGAAGAGGATGGTCTTGAGACGGGTCTTCCACGATTTACTGTGAACACCGTGCATTTTGTTGACAAACAAGGCAGCCACTTTGTGCAGGGCAAAGTCCCACAAGCCGTCCCGAGGTTAATGACCAGTTTTATTTTGGGGATTGTTGGCCAGGGCACCAAGAGAAATTCCTTTTACTTTACAGATCGTGCCATGGGGATCTTTAACGTCCACTTGCACAGACAGACTAGGGGCCTTGGATTAACGTTTCATTCGAAGAATGGCACCTTTAACAACGCAGCACTCAAAGTCACGGAACTTGGTATTTTATACACACTACTTCAGTGATTAGAGTGGGGGTTTCTCGAGTTAGGAGGACAAAACCATTAACCCATTTATATTAACAAATTTAAAATAAATAAATCTCGAAATAACTTTAAAATGTTTAATGGGGCATAGATTTTGACGACACCCCTAACCCATTTATATTAACAAATTTAAAATAAATAAACCTCGAAATAACTTTAAAATGTTTAATGGGGCATAGATTTTGACGACACCCCAGAGCCTTAAATTAAGTCGGAGTCGTAATGCATAAAATGTACTTATGGTTTGAGCAGGGGAGCGAGCTGACCCACTTGTTTGTTACAAGTCCCTCCAAGGTGCAACTCTGCTGTCGGCTCAAACACCTCGTGCTTTATCCCCTTGTGCTTGTCCTCTCACACTCCACAATCACATTCATACAGACGTTAAGTTTGCATGTAAATCAGGCCTCCTTCATAATACAACAACAACATCCTTTGACAGTTTCTGCTACCCGTGGGGTGTAAATGACTGGAACAATACCATGCAAACAGCAAAAGCAACATCTTAGCAGACATCAGTCTCCATTGAAACAAGTATTCAATTGAGTTTGCAGGTTCCCTGGTCATGATGTCACCACCGTCTCACCACCCTCCCTCCTCAAGCATTGCGCTATAGCATCAACCTAGTCTGTGAAATTGGTCATTCCTTTCATGGCTGATTGTGGGTCACTGCTGTACGCAAACTGGCTGCCAACAAAATACACAGTCAGCAGATCCTGTGAAGCGCTTTGCGGCGTCATCGCGACATGAAAGGCACGAATGTAAGAACGGTTATGATAGGTGAAGTATTATGATTATATGATATGAAAAACAACAACGAAACAATGACAGGGAAACAGACTCTGCATAACAGAGTAGTTATCAAGCCCGCTCCAATTACATCGCGTCATCCATTGAGTACTCCTAGTTTATATACTGACTGCAGTTCCCAGTAACGCCAGAGATGAAACAACACATTACATTTGTCTCGCGCTTTTCACGTCAGGAGGAGCTCCCAAGGCACTGGACAGTCAGGGATTTGGACCTGAGCTGGGGGTTGGGATCAGGAGGGTTGGAGGGCAGTGAGGGTAGGGGTTGGAGGGTGACTGAACGCATGTCAAAGAGGAGGGAAACAGCTTTGTAACCTTTACATAAAAAAAATTATGTGAACCTTTACTTACAGAACACCTGAAATCCGTCGACTAGAGCCACAAACCTGGATTCCGACAACAAGGTAATGGAAGTCAATGATAGTTATACAGCAAAAATAAATCACCTGTGTGCTCTGTACCATGTGCCACTCAATTCACAATTAGAGGCGGCGGGGGGGGGGGGGGGAAGGAGAGAAGAGAATCAGAGGATAAGACAGGATGGGGGGGAGTCAAAAGAATGCGGGTGGAGGGGAAAAGAGTCCGAGGATGGGTTGGGTTTGTGGGGGTAGAAGTCAGAGCATGGATGGGGGAGCGGGAGGGGAGAAAAAGGGAGTCAGGAGATGGGTTAAGGAGTCAGATGGATGTGGAGGGAGTCAGATAGATGGGTGCAGGGTGTTGAGGGGGTGGGGGGGGGGGGGGGGGGAGATAGAGGTTCAGGTGAAGATCAGCCAGGAGTTTAGAAGCTGTTGGCCAAAGCGCTCAACAAAAATCAAACAATCACTGTAATGCCAATGAAATAATAGCTCCTGAAATCACCCTCCCAAGCCTGCTCCATGCATGAAGCACTCCCAGAGAGGGGAAGGGGGGGGGATGCCTTGGGCAGTGTTGACAAGACACATCCTTCCCTCTCCCCTCCAACCTCTCCAAATCCACCCCCCACACCACCCCCAGCTTTGCATTCACATTGAGTGGCAGTATTGGGGCAAGAGCTACCTTGTGTTTACACTGTATGGTCCCAGCAGTGCTAAGTTGCTCCTGACTGCTTGTGCTTTCAGCATGGCTCTGCAATGCATCTGCTAAGCAGGAAGAGGCAGGGACTTTGGCTAGACTTTTAATGCTGGATAGGTTTAGCATCAAATCAGCTGACAGGAAGAGTTTTGCAGTATATATATATATATAAATACAAATGCACATACACTTCACAGAACACATACCCAGCAAAACATGTTCCAGCAAATCATATTTTTTTTTCCCCCCCAAAAAATTTTTTTTTTACACACACACACACACACACACAATTTCAAATCTTTTTTGGGGTTTTAAGTAATTCCAATATTTGGAAAAATGCCTCCACTTCAAAAACCACTTTAAAAAATGATTCAGTTCCAATATTTTTTTTATAAAGAAAAATAATTCAATGTCACCATTGCAAACGTCATGCAGTTTCAAATATTTTTTGAAATAGTTGAATTTTAAAATGTTTTCAGAATAATTTCCACAGATTCTCCCCTCCCCCCCCCCCCCCACCCACCAACCAGGCTAAAGTCCATCTCTACGTTAACTGAAGAAAAAAATAATTATTGACAATTGTTTGCCTAGACAGTGAAATGCAGCAACATGCACAAACTAGGCTACTAGCGAGGACCGGCCACCCTCACGAAATTCGCTGTCTCAAATCGCTCCACCTTGCCCCCTCTTTGCCCGGCTTCAGATCGCACCTGAACACTTTCCTCTTCTACTGTACCTAGAGTCCCGTAACAAATTGGTTAGCGTGCTCGCCTCGCAAGCGATAGGACCCGGGTTGGATTCCCGGGCGGGGCGAAACCCTAGGCACGTTTCCTTACTCCGCACCTCTCTGTTTACCCAGCGGTAAGTAGGAACAACAACAACAACTTGGATTTATATAACAGTTTGGATTTATATATAAATCCAAAGAGACGGCGTCTCAGAGCGCTTCACAGTAACGGATCCCGGGACTGAGCCAGGGGAGGGGGAAGAAGGTGACCAAAGGCGTGGTTGAAAGGAAAGGTCGTCAGCCGAGACCTGAAAGTAGGAAGAGAGGGGGCGAGGAGAAGGGAGTGAGGAAGGAACCTGTTTGGTAGTCGATTGGCGGATTGCTTTCCACAAAATTTACAGTCAATCTACGATACAATTCTGTGAAGCGCTCTGAGACGTCTCAACGACGTGATGAGGCGCTATATCAAATGCAAGGATTATTATTATATGTTATGATTTGGGGGCGAAAAAATGTAGCATCCAACCAACCAAGCGGGTTGGGTGGGACGGGCACCAGCTCTGAGTACCCAGGGAGATAGCTAATCCCTGGGGGTCCAAAGAAAGACACAAAGAAAGATCCCCATCACACGGTGGTGGTAGGGGCACACATTCCCATCCCATTCCAGAGCCCTGGAATACTGCAGACCTGTCTGGCTCAGGAACTGGATGACTGAGACCGCCACAGAGGGGTGGCTCAATTCCGGCATTATGTTGCCAGGCATGTCACCTTGAAGCCAATTCAGCTTCAAAGGAGATCCCAGGTATTCTCTCCCCCTACTCCCCGGTGGATCATCAGGCAGCAGAGAGTGCGTTCCCCCTCCCAAAGGGTTTTTGCTAACAAATAAAATGCAGTTTATAGCCCAAAGCTAACCAAATACTAGCCCAAATGTAGCCCAATGTTGTTATTGTTCTGCATTGCCTCATATTAGCAGAGTGGCTGGTTGAGGTCAGTCCTTTTGATATCATATGTTAAGAAAAGGTCTTGAAGGGGCTGAAGAAAAACGTCTTGCAAGTTTCTGGAGTCCTGTAGCTCAATGGTTAGAGCACTCGCCTCACAAGCGAGAGACCTGGGTTTGATTCCCAGCAGGGCGAAACCTTGGGCAAGTTTCCTTACTCCACACGCCTAATAATAATCCCTCAGGGGAAAAAAAAATATTTAGTCATTTCAATCCACGACTGTTTGTGGGACATTGCTGTGCGCAATTGGCTGCCGCGTTTCTCCCACAAAATAAACAGACAATTCACTTTACAGTATATTCTGTGAAGCATTTTGAGACGTCTAGAAGACGTGAAAAGCGCTATATCAAATGCAAGGATTATTACTATTATTATTATTATTATTTAAATTAGGCACCCAACCAAAGCGGGATGTTTTTCACGCCACAAAAAAAGCCCACAATTGGGTATGAAACCTGCTCTAATCTGGTAACATTGGACACGCGTGATGGAAATGCTATCAGGGGGAGCAAATGTTCTAACTCTGCAGAGGAGGGAGTGAGGGGGGGAAAAAGAGGGAGGAGTGAGGCCGGGAAAAGAGGAGTGATGGGGGAAATAGCATTACGAGGGGCGGGTGGGTGAGGGGGGAATTGCATTACAGTATGGGAGTGAGGGGGGAAAGAGGGGAGGTGAGGGGGTTTGCATTACAGAGGGAGATGAGGGAGTAATTGCATTACAGGGTGGGGGTGAGGGGGGATTGCATTACAGCGGGGTGAGTGAGGGGGCTAATGCTTTACTTTGTGCTGTGTCTCTTGGTTGAGGGTCCTTCGGGCAGATGCAGGGTCTCGCGGTTGTCATTGGTCTAGAAGCAAAGATTCTCAGGCTGTGGTTCAGAAGCTTTTCCTTTTCCTTCTTTCTCCTCCTCTCATTTCTCTCTCCCTCTCCCTTTCTCCTTCTCTCTGTCTCTCCCTCTCGCTTTCTTTCCTCCTTTCTCCCCACCTTCTCTCTCTCTTTTTCCTGTGTGTGTATTTTTGTCAACCACCTTCTCTCTCCAACTGGCGAACAAAATAAAAACCTCTAGAGTGTTTTGCCTCCCTTTTTTATGAACGCTATATTTGAGCATCGCTTTCCCAGTACAATGTGCCCGCCAACCTGTCACTGCACCTCACACACAGTCAGTGCCTGAGTCACAATGCAGCACCGTCAGTCACACACACACAGCAGCCCCTGCACATGGCTAACACAGGCAAATTTGCAGATTAAAGGGTTGGGGGGCGTTTAAGATATTCCCCCTAAATCACCATTTCCTCTTGTTCGTACTTTTGCAAATAAATGCACAGCACAATTCATTACACTCTAATAATAATCCTTGCATTTGATATAGTGCCGGATCATGTCGTGGAGATGTCTCAAAGCGCTTCACAGAATAATAATAATATTAATAATAATCTTTGCATTTGATACAGCGCTTTTCACGTCAGGAGGACGTCCCAAAGCGCTTCACAGAACACACTGTAAAGTGAATTGACTGTATATTTGTGGGCGAACGCGGCAGCCAATTGCGCACAGCAATGTCCCACAAACAGTCGTAGATTGAAAATGACCAATTTTTTTTATTGTTTTGGGTTTTGGAGGGATTATTATTAGGCTCTGTGTGGAGTAAGGAAACTTGCCCAAGGTTTCGCCCTCTGCCTGGAATTGAACTCAGGTCTCTCACTTGCAAAGCGAGTGCTCTAACCACTGAGCTACAGGACTCCACACTGTATTGTAAAGTGGATATACTGTATTGAATATACTGTATTGTAAAGTGGATCGATTGACAATGTATTTTGTGGGCCATGGGTTTAATATTTAATATTTTTTGGTGGATGACTAAAGTGAATATTACACCCAACCCCCCACCCCACCTCCTCCACTGGAAAGTGATCCGCCAATCGACTAACAACCAGGTTCCTGTTTACTGCTAGGTAAACAGGCATTTGGAGTAAGGAAGCTTGCCTAAGGTTTCACCCTGAACGGGAATCAAACCTGGGTCCTCTCACTTGCAAGCTAAAAACTATACTAAGGGATTCTTGGAATTCTGGAAGGATGAGATTAAATGGGCCAAAGGATTTTTTCATCCGAGAAAAAGATATTGAAAGCTTGCAAATTACCTGAGAATCGGTTTCCCTGAGGTGACGGCAACTTTCTGCCTTTCACATAGGGCCAACTCACACTCTTGAGTCACCAAACCTTGGCTTCTGCCAACCTGCGCTTAATAGTTTCGAGAATTTAGGTAAGCAGGAATGCGTCCCTCCAGGGAGAGAGTGTGCATTCCATTCCAACAACTTATCTCTAGGATTTCCATGTGTAGGTGGGATGCATGGAAATCTCAGCTTGGTTTGGATACTCTTAAGCATGGTGATGGGTTTTCTCGTTTGTCAGACACACGGCTGACCCCAAAAAATCACATAGATTGGAACCCTAAGCGCTTCACAAGATTTACAGATTCCAGTGTATTTTTTGTAGGCAGCCGGCAACCAGATTTACACATGTGGTGATTGTACGCATATGGATTGCAGGTGTATTTGGCTTCTGTATTGATTTCCTCTATTTGAAATCTATGTACACAGTCATTTCAATTGAGCAGGAAAGGCTGCCTCCATGAATCCCTTTCTCCGTGTGTTCCATACCCATGTCATACTGTAGTTCCCTTCATGTGAATACCTCGCAATAGCACTTCTGTCTCCTTTTCTTACTGGAAAGTATTTATAAAAAATCTCAGTCACGAAATACAAAAATGGCTGTGAAATAGAAATGCTGTGTAGGATTGACATATGGAGTAAGCAAGGCATTTTGCAACATCTGTTCAGAGCAGAAAGGGTATGATTACAATAATAATCCTTACATTTGATAATAGTGATTACCACGTTTCACCCACAAAACACACAGTCAATCCACTTTACAGTTCATGCTGTGAAGCGCTTTGAGACGTATCAACGATGTGATGAGGCGTATTATCAAATGCAAGGATTATTATTTAGTATTATTATTATTGTTACTGTTATATGTCTCATAGTGCTTTACAAAATTTACTGTAAAGCATAGTGCCTGTGTATTTTTTAAGTGAACATGGCAGCCAATCTGTGCATGGAAATGTCCCACAAGCAGCCATGGAGTGAAAGACCAATTTGTATCTAGGTGATTGTGGCCTTTGACACCGACTCTCTTCCTTTTTGAACGACATCATGGGATCTTTAACTTCTACCTGTACAGGCAGACGGGACCTCAGTTTAACATCTTTCATCCAAAAGACGACACCTCTGACAATGCAACGCTTTCCCTGCACTGCATT